GATAATGTTTGATGTAAACCTAGTATTGCATTGAATTGATTGATTTATTGTCCATACAAATGGAAATTCGTTGCTCACTGGTACAGGTGTGTTACAAACAATGTACACAACTATACAAATTATAAAACATAATAACAACATAACATCAATGGCGTTACATCTAACAATACGAGCGAAGTCCCACATCCAGGCACCTCGCAACTCAAACGTAAATAGGGAACATGAAAATAGTCTGTATCAGATAAACATGATTTAAGTACAATGCGATTACTTGCCTAGGAAATGTAGGAAAGCAACAAAAAAATCGTACAATGTCTAAAATAATTGCCCTCGTTTTACCCTACTGTTGTAAATATGGGTCGAATCGGGCACGTCTGAAACGCTCCTGCCAACTACGAGGAACCCACTCAGGGGTTGGAGGGACCGCATGCGTGTTCCCAAAATGTCCGGTAAAGGGACCACAAAGTTACCACAAATTAAAAAAAAAAAAAAAACTGCAATAAATTTTCAATTATCCATTGCATTTCACCCTGGTCCCCAACATTACAAAATCCTCTGTACGACCATGCATTATGGCTCGAGGCATGGGCACACAGAAGATTTTTTTCTGTTGGGGACCGGGGGAAATTCAATGAATTATTGAAAATTTATTGAATTTTCTTTGTGTTTTTTTATTTGTGGGAACTGCCCCCTACCCTAGCCCCCGCTGCGTACAGTCATGGTTCAGTGACCAAACAATGGCCTCGTAACTGTGAGGCCCCAGGATCAACACCGTGTCGATGTACCATATTAGTGCCCTTTTGTTCGGCATTAATCCTCATTACTGTCCTTTATGATTTAAGGGCGTAGGTCCTCTAGTTGATAAGCATAGTAGCATACACATGCTTTAGCAGTTACGCAAAACAAACACTGGCAAATTATTATTCAATAAAATCTGAGAATGTATTCTATTATCTAGATCTATTAGGAATAAATAATTGTCAAAATAATTCCATAAATTGGGGTAAAAAAAAAATCCAACTACAGTGTATATGAGCGACAGTGTATATGGGTCCTTCTGAGTATGGGAAAACGTGATAAAAAGTATCCCCAAAGTGCCCACTGCTGGAAAAGTGCCCTTTTAAACTTCAAATGAGTGCCCCTATACTAATCTGATAGGAGCCCCCTTATTTTTATAATTGACCCTTTTCCTGTGTAATAAATTGCCCCCTTCTTATATAGGTACCCTTTTCAGGTGCTTGAAGTACCCTATTTACTTTGAAACATGGCTCCCTAATGTCATGCACTCACTAGCTGTCAATTGAGAATTACAATAATTTGGCTCATGTCAGCAATTTATTCAAGTTGAGAAAGGCGAATCCATTTGCAAACAATGTTTATCTCAATATTTGTTTGATCAAACAAAGAAACAAACTACTTGATGGAAATGTGAGTTGTAATGTTACATTTTGTTAACTGACGACATTGATTGACATAGAAACCTTTTATGAACTAAAAATTGACTATTGCAGGAATTTATTCATTTGAATGGGGGAATCTTTTTGCAAAGGTGTTTTTTAACCCATATAATTACACCACAATAGCCTCACGTTCTGCACCTATCCAGGCACGTGCATTTAGCGGGTATACCAATTTCATGCTCTTATTATTAACCGCCAAAACACAATTTGCTATCATAATTTACACCATAGCATTATCATTTCCTGTTCAATTACCATTCCCAAATTTAATGCACTATTTAGCTGCCGACAAAGAAAGAAACAGAAAACTTTATTGACCCAAAAATTGGCTCATTGCAACGATTTGTTAATTTGAATGGGAAAGTCCATTTGCAATCAGTTGTTCATCTCAATATTTTTTATTGAACAAAGGAAAACAATTTTTTTGATGAAAATATCAGATGTAATTTTACAAAAGAAGAGAAAACCCGTTTGGCGGCAACATACAGTACTAAAAAAACTGAATTCAGATTTGATAAATTCATCTCTTTTCCCCTTGTTTTTTAAATATTTTTCTTCTCCAATTGTTCGTAAATCGTAACACACATAACGTTTAATGATAGTCATTTTGTATTATTTACTTTCAACGTGTCTGAGATGATGTGTTTGAATTACTTAAGAATTTGAAAAAGTTGGGAGAGAAAGAGAGAGAGAGAGAAAGAGAGAGAGGGGAAGAGAAAAAGAAAGAGAGAGAGAGATAGAGAGAGAGGGGGGGGGGGAGAGAAATTTATACTTCGCAAATTGTATTATGCTTTGTTAATTTTGCATGGAATATGAATATGAAGGCAACCAATCAATCAATCACAAATTATTTTTTTTTAAAATGATTTAGAAGGGCTCTCCATGATTGATGTAGGCCTACATGTAGGATGATATTTGATGTTTTTCATGCATGTATGTCGTGCTCCCCTCTACCCTCCGGCACACCTTTTTTGTTGTTGATGGTTATTGCAATAAGCTTCTTCATATGAAACTGACCGGTTGCTTTGTCAGTTACTTGTGCAACGTAATCCCTATGTCGCTTGACCGTCTAGACTTCGGATGATGTCGCCAGGCGCGTACGCAGGGGGGGGGGGGGGTTGGGGGGTTAAACCCTCCCCTTTGGAAATTTTTTGTGTGTAAACCCCCCTAAAAAAAACCTAAAACCCCCCCCTTTTGGATTTTTTTTTTTTTTTTTTTTTTTTTTTTTAATTATTAAAAAAAAAAAAAAAAAAAAAAAATTATTCCCATGGCCGACCTAAAAAAGGTGACCTTACCCCCCCCCCAACGGAGCAAAATGTCAAATTTCCAAATTTCGAGACCAAAAAAAAAAAAAAAAGTGTCCTCTTCCCCCCCCCCCCCCCCCCCCCCCCCCCCCCCCCCCCCCCCCCCCCCCCCCCCCGCTTATTCAGCGGCTGGCTGAGTCGTTGCGAAATTTTCGGACCGATTTATAAATGTTAAAACCCCCCCCTTGAAAAAATCCTGCGTACGCGCCTGGATGTCGCCATCTAATAAAATAAACTCCTTTCGAAATTTTGGTAGAGAATTTGGCCAACTTTAATACGGAAACATATCTGTCCAAAACCTCCCGCCTCAAAATTTAAGCAGACTGATAAATCGTCTTTTTGATAAATTGTTGTACCGTTAAAGAACAAGGTTATTTATTTCATTTAAAATGGAACATACGGTGAGAAGAAATAAATATTGAGAAAAAAATAATCTAAAAACAGTATCACGAAGGTCATTTTAAGATTGTATGTGTGCGTGTGTGTGTGTGTGTGTGGGTGTGTGTGTTCATGTGTATTTTGGACAAAGGTGTGAATTGATACCTGATTTCTGTTGTATTTCTCTACAGTTTTCGTTTTATAGGTTTTCATTTCTTGGTGAAGGCTATAAATCAAATGTACCATGCACTCTTTTCTAGGCACCTGTAAAGTGATAGATCTTAGTGACTGATCCCTTTAAAAACTAGCGCTAAGCCAATCACAGAGAATTCATAATTTCACCTGAAGCCTCTTAGTGCATGGTAAATTTGATTTTTTTTTTTAATTCAAATTTCATTTAGAACCTTTCCATATTTGCTCAATCAGCTGTATGGACATATGGTCTATGGTTAGAATAATGGATGCGGTTAACAGCGTTGGTGTATTAAGTGGATTCACCATATTCAGATTCTGGATAATGGCAGCGAATTTAATTACATTGAAAAGGATGCAGGTCATGTTTTCACATGAGAATTGTAAATCAATATATCTCTCTCTCTCTCTCTCTCTCTCTCTCTCTCTTTTTCTTGCAAAAAGAAAATATGAATATAATCTTGGCCTTTGACTTAACATTTTATCAGTATTAAACAGGGAGAAAGAAATGGGGAGATAATTAATCAAAGCGGACATTCAAGATACCTACCAAATGTTCATTCGTGAAGCATACTAATGTAGGTATGTTAAAATGTGAAATAATTATTCATAGAGCGATGATCAATTAATTCTTTGACATTGCTCGATTCTTTCAATTGTACATGAATGTGGCCACTTGTCGGTTACGAACGGCAGGTTTCGATATCTACTCTATCTATCAAACAATTCAAGATCTAGCTGCAGTTAATACACACATGAGAAAATTAAAATGGAGATGCCAGAATGAGATCAATGACGATGATTACAATTTTGAATTAAAAAAAACAACTAACAACGTGTTCTGAGGTCATATTTATTGCGTTTTTATAAAATATTTATCCACCATCGTTGTGTTGAACTATATTTTCAATTTATAATGTGTGTGTGTATTTGTGTGAGGTATAATATTTTTTAATACTTTGTTTAAGGGGAGGGGGTGGTGGACAAGGGGAGTTTGTGAGACAAGCTATAAGGGGAGGGAACCATACATCTCTCATCTAATTTTATTCTATTTCTGTAATTGTCATTTCTGTTACGATTTAGGTTCGATCTTTTTTTCCCCTCATAATAACAGAAGTCTTTTTTGTCTATACTAAAGCAAATGTTATACGAATTCATTGTAGAAGTAGGACCTCCTGTGCTTTCATTAAAGTATCAAATATAAGCTATTATTTTTGATTATTAGTATATTTTTATTGAATCTTATCATTTAAATTTTACTCAATTTTGTATCTTAATTGTCCAATTAATGTATTCGATTTTCTTTGTTGAGAGAAAAAAAAAATCAAAATCAACAATAACATCAACAAAATCACACCCCCAATACAAAAGCACAGTCACTTAGGAATGGGCAACTGTCTTTGCAAGGACAGTGTGTGTGCATATGTGTGTGATTGTTAGTGTGCGCGCGTGTGTGTGTGTGCGTGTGTGTTTTTACAGACGTGTATCAATCAGATATGATTGTTTACGTCTGGGTGCCGACCTTTAAACGTCACCATCCGAAAGACCTGACTCAGTTTCGAACCTGCGTCCTCGGCTGAATCAGTTTCTAACATCCATAGCTAGCTGGATTACAGGCGCACGCCACAACGCCTGACCATATTTTTCTCTTGATTTATCCCACATAGAAGTTGAGGACAAAGTCGTAGTTGCTGAGATGCAGGAGAAGATGGCCACATTGGAGTCCAGGGTGTCCGACCTCGAGAGATCGAGTAACAAACTCAAGAAGCTGGCGCTGGCCGCCATCAGTGTGGCTCTAGCTGACGATGGAGAGACCTGTTCAGAGGCAGAGGCACTAGGTGTCCACAACTTGATGAAAGGTAGGCTATAGTAGAGAGAGAGAGAGAGAGAGAGAGAGAGAGAAAGAGGGGGTGGGAGAGAGAGAGAGAGAGAGAGAATGAGAGGGATGGAATTAGAGAAAAAATAAATGAGCACATGTAACAGATCAGAATATAAAGGGGTGGATTTTTTTTTTTTTAAAGTTTATACCATAGATATGCGAGGTGGGGCTGCAGCCCCCTCTCACCCCACCCTCGAGTACTCCGTCACTCAGGAAGCGAGGTTCCCGAGTATGAAGATGTAATTTTTATATCTTATTTAGATAAGATATAAAAATTACATCTTCATACATCTTCGTCACCCAAATAATGGTAGACTCTACCATTATTTGGGTGACGAAAAAGCACTTTCACTACAATTCCATGTAGGTGTTGACCTTTTCTAACCCGAAAGCTGTCTCGATGATTATACAAAAAAGAAGAATAGTAACATCTACAATAGCGCTTAATACTTTTGTTTCTAAGCGCTGTAATATCATTACCCAGGCATTGGACGAGCTACCCTGAGCAGAAGGCGCTCTGACATTCGAGGAAATCTTTCTACCGGGTACCCATCTAAATCACCTGGGTGGAGAGCGGCGAATGTAGATTAATGTCTTGCCAAATGACATTGTAATAGTGCTGCGGCGAGACTCAAACCGCGAACGATGTGATCCACACTCCACAGTTCGGGCCAGAGACATTTATACACAGAGTTTGGCCAACTTGGTTTCACAACATGGCGTATATTATTTTGTTATGTGCTTGCACAACAAAGGCAGCAGTAGTTGCCATATTGTGTCCAACTCGAACCGGGTTGGACAAAACTATGTGTATAGATGACTATGGTTCGGGCCAGATACATCTGTCCTCTCCCCTTGGTGGAACTGTAGGTACCCGCACGCTTCTTTGCATCACACTACAATTAACAAAAAAGTGTATATTTTTTTTTTATCTTCACTCGGTAGGTTTTCCAGCTATGACTTTGAGCACAGCCCAGTCACAACCCACCACCAGTCTTCACCAGTACTGTGACGATTTAGGTACATCCATCAAACCAGCGCTCTCTTGTAACCAACTCAAACTGTCGTGTAACAAACCATCTGGGGTTTACTGCTTAGACAATGGATACTTCACAGAGGTGATTTAAAATGAAATGGAATGGAATGAATTGGTATTGTTTGAACGGAAGGAATGAAATTAAATGGAATGAAACGAAATAGAATGGATGGATGGATGGAAGGTAATGAAATGGCATGAAATGAAATGGAATGGAATGAAATGAAACATAATGGATTGGAATGGAATGAAATGAAATGACATGAAATGAAATGAATGAAATGGCATGAGCTGAAATAGAATGGAATGAAATGGCATGAACTGAAATGGAATGGAATGGATGGATGGAAGGTAATGAAATGGCATGAAATGAAATGAAATGGAATGAAATGAAATATAATGGAATGGAATGGAATGAAATGAAATGACATGAAATGAAATGACATGAAATGAAATGAAATGAAATGGATGGATGGAATGTAATGAAATGGCATGAACTGAAATGGAATGGAATGAACTGAAATGAAATGAAATGGATGGATGGAATGTAATGAAATGGCATGAACTGAAATGGAATGGAATGAAATGGCACGAACTGAAATGGAATGGAATGGATGGATGGAATGTAATGAAATGGCATGAACTGAAATGGAATGGACTAGAATGAAAGTAAATGAAATTAAAATAGAATGGAATTAAATCAACTGAAATGAAATGAACTAAATCATAGTAAAGTATAAACAAAATATATTAAAGATAAAACAAAATACAATACAAATGCAATAACATAAAAAGTAAATTATTAAAGTAAAGTGAAATAAAATATGACAAATATAATAAAATATATAACCCTACATAGTACATTAAGTGGACATCAACCCTAACCCTAACCCAATCCTAACCCTAACCCTAACCCTAAGCCTAACCCTAAGCCTAACCCTAAGCCTAACCCTAACCCTAATGTCTACTTAATGGCTTATTAAACAAAAATGGGCCTTCTATGAAAAATAAAACGTAAACAACGTTTAAGAGGACACCAAATTGTCCTCCTAATGACAATGTCTACTTAATGAATCATTTTTTTTCACTCCAAATTTCCCCCTAATGACGCCTTTAATAATATATATATATATTCATGTTAATAGGGCTATACTGCTTCAGTAAACTGTCATTAGTTAATGGTCCTACCAAGAGCTTATCATTTTTGGATGAAACGAGGGTCAAGAGAGAAATCATATCGTATAGGACACATGTAACAGAATCATCACCAACCATCAATCAATTATATCCCATTAATTTGTCCGTGTCAAGCCATTGAAAATTCTCGAACCAGGAAGTGGGTACCTGGTTAGATTTTATTCCTTATATGCTCTGAGCGCTACATGTGTGGTTGCCGAAGTTTAAAGCTGACGTAATAAGTATCAAAAGTCCTTGCGAAGCTCATAGATAGGCTCTGTCATAATAATAAATCCGGATTTATAAAGTGCTTTATACGATATACCGTCTCTAAGCGCTTTACAGATATTATTATATGTAGGATTTCCCGGCAAAATTCGCGAGTATGTCATTCGAATTCATTTACTTTGCATTGAAGTTAACGCAGATCGGCTTTGCCATGCCAATTATCATTCAATTTTACCGTTTTGGTATTCAATTTAAAATTTTGGTCGAAGGGTTTCATAGATCTGTCATTTAATTTAGAAACTGCTCAACTAGTATTCAAATTAATCGTCACTTGTCGAGGCGTCATTTTTATCATTCAAATTAACACCTGTCATTCGTATTTGAATTATGTTCATTCAAGTTAGGAATGTTAGGGGGAAGAAATGCAACACACGTTTAAAGCTTTAAAAATGCAATTAAATGCATGATTTGCCATTAGGGTCTTTTCTGTTATTCCATTTATTAATTTTGAGGACAATGCATATGGGTGTAGTCAGACATTTTGGCAAAGAAGGGGCGAAATCAAGGGATATGGCATTTCTGCACGGACATGTTCATATACCCCGGAAAAGTGGGGATACAAAAATACCCATCCCAGTCACAATATTGTACCCTTCCTCCATAATGAAATTGTGATAAATTTATGATGAAACACAAGACGACAACTTCCTTACATGAAAATTTACAAAAATATTGAGACCATCAAGTCCGTAGAATGATGTAAGTCCTTTTTTTTTCTTAACAATTAAAATTAAAGGATGATGAATATCAGATAAATCTAAGAGTATATAAATTGTATAAATGCAATAAAATAGAATATGATGAAATACACATGGAAGAAACAATGTTGAAAGAAAGAGAATGAGCTATAAAAAGTGTGTAATAAACGAGAAATGTATATTGACCATCAATTTAAGTGCACAAATTGCTAATTTGAATGCTACAAATGAATTCGAATGCTAAAATTACACCTTCGCGATGTCAGAAATCGTGTTGCGCCAAATCGAATGACCAAAAAGTGAAAAAAGCACACTATTCATTAATTTGAATGAAACTTACAGAGTTTCTAATGAAAACTTCATAGATTTGAAATCTAGAAAAATTAATATAAACCCAAAATATATCTGACAGCACTAAAACCGTCGAATTTGAACGCAAGACAAATTAATTTAAATGACAAACTCGCGAATTTGGCCAGAAAATCCTATATTACCCCAGTCACCGGATTCATTCACGCATATTGTGCACCATTTCCACTCCCTGGGGAGTATTCCTACCGAAAAATTACCGTGAGAGCATATGGCAGTTACTATCACAAATGCTTTCGTCATCCTACCAGGTTTCCATTTCTCTCCTGGGTATGGAGTGGCAAAAGTAGATTAATGCCTTGCCAAAGGACATTAGTGCCGTGTCGGGGAGCAAACCCACGACCTTTGCATTTCCATTCAAGTGCTTATAATCAACTCGACTACGACACCTCTAATGCGATTTGCGCTTTACAAACTGGACTGTTAGCTGAGATTAGGTCCACTTTCCCCATATCGATATAATTAAGTTCCTCTTCATATCTCGACCAGGTTTTCTGTGAGATGGATTTGTTTGGAGGTGGATGGGCCCGCTACGGTCAGGCGGAGAAACAGAACGTGTGGAACTTCGTTGACGAAGACATGATTGAAGTACGGCTCCAGGTCATGCAGCCCGCAGAGCTCAAGGAAATGATCGACATGAAGTACAATACATTCAAGATACATACAGACGTCACATTCAGGTAAAATATTTCTTCATGCAAATTGATGGAAATAAAATAAAATACAATGGAACAGAGAGAGAGAGAGAGAGAGAGAGAAATGGGGGGGGGGGCATCGGGATGTAATTATGCATAATGCGGTAGTTAGTTTCCAATATAAAGATGTATATAGTTTCTATATATTCAGTTATTTTTTGATATACCAATCGATCTAGTATTTGAATGGTGTTTTTAAAGAAGAGAATGAAATGAAATAAAATATTGAAATAATTAAAAGAAAATGAGAACAAAAAAGTTAAAGCATGGGGGAAAAAGAGAAAGAGTGAGAAAATAAAAGGAGAGAAAAAACTGAGAGAGAGAGAGAGAGATAGAGATAGCGAGAGAGAGAGAGAGAGAGAGAGAAATGGAGAGAGAGAGAGAGAGAGAGAGAGAGAGAGAGAGAGGGGGGGGGGGGGGAGATGGTTTATACGAAAAATATATGACTCTGTTTTTAGAGAGATCATTTTCATCTTTGCGATACATATACTTCCCGTCAGCCTTCAGGCGAATGACAGCATAAACCTGAACGCCCGCATTCTACCCTGGTTTTGTATAAATTTGTATGGCGATTTTCCATTCAACTAGGAATTATTCATAGTGCTCGGTAGTTATTAATTGGTCAAAAGAAACAAAGACGGAAAGCCAAAGAAAATGAAAGAGAACAAAAAATAGAGCAGGAAAGATACACCTACACACAAAATTATACGATTATGAAATAACAAAAAAAATTGTTAAAGAAATGAGAAATAATCAGAGAGGGAAGGTGAGTGAGGATTGTGAGAAAAGATAAGGAGAGAAGAGAAGTAAGAAGGGGAGAAAGAGGGAGAATGAGAGAGAAAAGATGTGGAGGAGAATGAGAGAGAGGAAAAGGCAGACAGAGACAGGGAGAAGGGGAAAGAAGAGAAGAGGAAAGAAAAATCCTTTTACACCCCCTCTAATGTGTAATTTTGTTTTTATATACCAAAGCCTATACCATTTTGTACTCATGTTCAATTGTGTGTTGCATTTATTCCTATTATATAAAGTTAAGAAACAGCCGGAAAATGATTTGTATGCCATGTAATTTTGCATGATCAATAAATTTGAACTTGAACTTGAATGTCACATCTTTGCTATCCACGCAGCATGCAGGCGGACGACAGCACGAATCCATCCCGTGTCAAGGCCCGTGTCCTCCCCTGGTTCAACCGAGCTGCCTTCTACATCGATGGGTTTGGAGAGAACTTCACCAAGCTTCAGTTTCTACCTGGAGGTATGTTATCCCTTGTGTATACAGTGGAGTAGCTCCGGGGGGGGGGGGGGCACAAGGGCACTTGCCCCCAAATAAAATGAAAAAAAGAAGAAAGAATGGGAGAGGAAAGGAGAAAGAGAGAGAGAGATTAATAGAGAGGAGGGAGAGAGAGAGATAGAGAGAGAGAGAGAGAGAGGAGGGAGGGAGAGAGGAGTGAGGAGAGAGAGGAGAGGAGAGGAGAGAGAGAGAATAGAAATAGAGAGAGAGAGAGAGAGAGAGAGAGAGAGGAGGGTATGGGGAGGGGATGAAACTTGGGTAAAAAGAAAGCATATTAATCGGGGGGCTTGGGAACATTATGTGCCCTTTAATAATCAAAATGGTGAAAGAAAAGGAAAAATAGGAGAGAGATATATATATATATATATATAGAGAGAGAGAGAGAGAGAGAGAGAGAGAGAGAGAGAGAGAGAGAGAGGGGGGGGGGTGGGTGTACATGGGTGTGTGTGGTGTTTGTTAGAGGGGGTGGGGTGGTGATGGAAAGTAAAAAGAAGGAACTACGTACACCCCTCTCCCATACCCATCTGTTATCAATTACAATGTTGATTAATCTTTGATCCGTAGAGTAATTAAGGCCCCTGAATTTTCAAGGGGGGGGATGGCAATCGCCCCCTAGCCCCAACTTTTTCTCCTCATTATTATTTATAATATTTGCATGGGTGTTTACAATCCTCGTTAATAATTTTACTATGATTTTAAGAATTTCCACTTAATATTTTAGGCAGTATAGTACTACAAATTATGACGACAAAAGAAAGAACGAAAATAGAAAAGGCGAGTCAATAATGTTTTGTTGTTGTCTGTGGTTTATTTTTTGTCTTCATGATTTGTTGTTGTTTGTTTGTATTTCTAAGGTAATCGGATAACGTGTCGTAACATACGCGGCACATCACACAAATGTGGATGGGGTGAAGTTCCAAGACCCGATGAGGCTTCGGACCAGGTCCTGATCGAGTCTGTCTACTTTGGTCCAAGGTCTTCGTCAAACGGTGCCATGACGCACATGGGGTCCTGGCAGGCGAACAAATACACGTGGAACGGATCCTACTATTTCGTCTACGCAAAATAATTTCATTGTATCCGAAATATGTAGGCCTACATTTTGTTTGTTTAATTTTGTTTTGTTAATTTGTTACGTACATCTCCTGTTTCTACTTATGCAACATTTAGTTTGAAAGGCATCAATCAACCAATTATTTCGAATCATATTTGATGAAAATGTGTAGCAACGCGTACGTAAACTGTTCATCTTACAAATTAGAGAATATTACATTTCCCCTCAAAGTATGGTAATTAATTAATAATTCCTTACGTTCACTGTGTAACTTCTACTGTGGTTCAACATTAATCCTAAATTATATGCCATATATCCGATCACAAATCTTGTATAAATAAATAAAGCTCGGAGCAATTGTCTCCGCCGGATATTATCATATTATGTGTTGGAGTAACGAAAATGAAGAAAAGTTGTCTTCTTTATCATTTTTTTTTGCTCGAGTCCCCCAAGATGATAGTGATCATGCCCACCTTTGCTTATCATACTTCTTAAAAAATTAACCTCACACCATAGGAAAATAAGCACTGTTGAATGTACGACCATTGGTGCTATAATATAAGACTCTATCCATAGTTTCCATGTAGTTTTTGCACATTGCAATTGCGCCATCTATGATAAAAAGGAGCACACTTTGAGTTTTGTGTAGCATTTATGTGTGTATTGATTTGAGGATAGGATGGGTGGTCACTGCGTTGATTTGCCTGATTATTGTATTCCAGAAACTATTATCACCGATATTGTCTGACCTTGCTATCAATTATAAATTAATGCTGAAATAAGAACATGTTTAAGGAACATGTATTTATTTGAATTCATATCAAGCATTTTATCTGAAGTTTCCATGTTATGATCATTAATTTTCATGTATTTTCATGCATACATTACATAATTCAAACTTAAGGAAACTAGCTTGCTCTGATATTCCACCGTTGTTTTTGTAATATATGTACTCTTAATAATCCTCCCTCCCACCTTTTCTCTCTCTATTACCCCCTCTCTTTCTCTCTCTATATATTATCCTCTCCTCTCTATCCAATACCTTTGTTTATCACTCTCCCAGACTTAACTATTACCCCCTCCCCACCACTCCCTCCCTGTGTCTCTTTCTCTCTCGCTCTCTCTTTCTCACACTTTCTCTCTCTCTATTAACCCCCTCTCTCTCCCCAACTTCCTCTGTATATTGCTTTTCTAGTCTTCCCTTCCTTTAGCAACATATATGTCTACTTTTTTGTGTACAAAGTTTTTATACACTATCACTGCATGTGCCTTGATGTCCAAGATACACAACTTGGAGAACTTAAAAGGTTGGAGTAAGGAAATAAAAACCAATGTCAAATGACTCAAATGACTTTTCGACTTGATTTATTACAAAGTCAATGTATAGACATACATGGATAGAGACATCTGCTATTTTTTGACAGTAGTTTTCTATACTGCCCTGATGGACACCTAAAGATAAAGTTGAGTTCTGGTCATGCGATTGCATTGTGAAAGAGACGGTGTGGAATCGATCAGAAAAGGCTGATCATCTAGCATATAAGTATTGGTGTGTACTGCAAGGTTCTGGAATCATTAAAATGATAAGAAATTTGGTCCAGTCATGATAAAGTTACAAGCACTATACACAGAAATATGTATATGGGACAACAAAAACACGCTGCATGAAAATCTGTCCGATTTTTATTCTGTCACATCATTTACATGCCATATTTTAGAATATTAAAGGGATCGTTTAACAATGTTAAATAAAACCTACATGTTACCAGTGTCTGTAATATGGTGTAATATTGAAGCCCTAAACAAAATCGCACTTCAAAATGATCAAGAAATGCCTCAAAAAAAGTAACAATCTTTGAGTGACCAGTTTTACCATACTCGTTTTCCCCAATAGAGTGTAGTGTTATGAAAAACGTTCGGCGAACAGTTTTCAAAATTTGTATTCCAATCATTAATATCTTGATAATCAGACAGGCGATCGGCTTGTAAAAGTCAAGGAGTTCCTGACTGACCTAAAGGTTTATAATTATCATTGCAGCATGAGCTAAATCAAGGATTATTTCTAAAGGATCTAAGACAAAGTTACCGGATCCCTTTAAGGCATTTGAAGAGCCGTACTTTTCAGGGAACATTTTTTATCTGATGTTCTTCCAAACTTGCATAATAACAATAACGCTCACATATTATTTTTCACCTCTTCCCAGAACTCGACCTTCCCTTTAAAACAAATGTCATTGCCTTATTTGGTTTATTTGACTTAAAACGTAGTATATTATTGAAATTCTGGTAAAGTTGAGCTGTTCCATTCTACACACAACATTGCTTTTGAAAATCAGGACAAGAAAAAAGAAAAAAAATTAAAAAAACACAAACATTTTCATGTAATTACTGATTTTACTCCAGAAAATCCCATGATTCAATAAAAATATTTTTTCCCAAAAATGTTACTGGCAACATTGTCACAATTGCTTTTCTTTTCCATGATTTAAACTGGCATTGTTTAACAATGTTTCCAGTTTTACAAATCTGAGATGCATGGCCCTAGGTGTTATCAGTGTCTGCGAAATGGTGTAATATTGAAGCCCTAAAAAATTGACCATATCACTTGGCATAATTGCACGTCTTTTACAAAATGGTGCGCCGGGTTCAAATTTTACAAAGTGCTCATTATATATATTTTCAAAATACTTCTGAAATTTTCTTACATTTCTATATCATTGATGGAGAATGGAGCCCTGGGGGGTGTTTCACAATTACTAAGATCGACTTTAATTTGTACTCAGCTATGGCAGGCCGTTCATGCCATTGTTTGCTCTTACCATTTACTGCAGGGATGCCAGTTAGAATTGATCAGAGGGCCTGAAAATCACCCAGAATGAGCTATTTTGTACACAAAAAGCCTAAACTATGGTCTGAAAATAACTTGCCAGGGCCCGAATTCAGGCTATTGCCTGAAAACTGGCATCCCAGTTACTGGCATTGGTCTCTTAAGGGATGTATGAATTGTGGTCACAAATCTATAGAACTTACAATTTTTTGATAGTTCATTATTGAAGTAAAAATATTATCTAAAGATCATAATTGAGAGACTAATCGTGAGAGCAACCAGTGGCACGAAGAATGGCCTGCCATAGTTAAGTCCAACTTAAAGTCGATCTTAGTCTTTGTGAAACACTCCCCAGGTCTGTCGGGTGTGCCCCGTATGTTTTCAATATAAGTTTGAATGAGTTACAAATGGTAAAGTGTGGCAGTGTACATACATTCACTGCACAGATTGCCCTGCTCTGGTGAGTTTGCCATCAGCGACCAGTCAGAACCAGCTGTGACCAGCAGCACCAGTTGTGACCAGTCAGAACCAGTTGTGACCAGTCAGAACCAGCTACACAAAGCATGGAGAGGCACTGTTCATTCGCATAGACTTAGTGATCTAATATTCAAAACATCCATAGTTCCATTATCACTGGTCCGATTTATTTCAAACTTTCTCCATTCTGTTTCTCTTATTTTTCTGATTTCAAACAAATTTTAATTAAACTGTCCTGCTTTTCCGAGTAAATTGACTAGGATCCAGCGCTACATGTGGTAAGGTGATGTCTTCCAATTCACTGCACAGATAGTCCATTCAAATCTTTCAACCAGCCTAAGCAGCCACCTCTTTACAAAAGCCACCTGTATATAGAGGCCCATCAGATTGCCTCTCTCAAAAAGGAAATGTGTGTTGAAGAACCTCTTTGTAAAGGCCACCTGTCTACAGTGGCCATTTTTGTGTTTCCTTGGGCGGCCTTAATAAACAGGTTTGACTGTACTGGTATTCACTTTGCTTCTCTCCATCCACATGTTCAATGAGTACATGTACCTGGTGGGGTACCAATACCACTTTGGCTGTAATAGTGCATGTCCTCCTTTAAAATGGCTGCCGGGCTGGACTGCCCCCATATGGAGTGGAGAATGTGCACTACAAGTGCAGAATCGTAACTGAATCCACTGAACCAGCGGAAAATACTCTTTCACATGTTTTGATTTAGCACTCTATCGAAAAGGCGCTATATAAAAAACAGGCATTATTACCAGTGCCTTCTTTCTGCCAAGGTCAGTCTGCTCCTGGACCTTATGAGATAGGTTTTAGTCTTTTGAAGAGTGGCCTTTGAGGAAAGACCAAGGACGACCAACATCAGTAGAAACACAAGGTATGAAGCACACTGATGTTAAGCTCCTCTTCAAACAATTGGATTAATTCATCGATTTCCTTGTCAAGATCTCGAAGCGCCTCAAGCTATTAAAAATGAAAATTAAACAGAACACAGTGGTAAAAGATGTTAGACTTAAAGAGAAGGTTGAGTTCTTTTATACAACTCCTTTATGAAACAAATCTATTCCGTCATCAATAACTAAGAACATGAAAGTTTATGAAATTTTCTGTACAGAGCAAATTGAAGAGGACATCACAAGATACGTTACAGTATTGCCAATTCGTATTTCACCGATGACGACTTTCAAAATTCATAACTTTCCTATTTTTATTCGGATATTGCTCAAACTTTCACTAATTTGTTTCTCTTGTGCAATTCTGCTTTTATAAATGCCAGCAAATCATCAGGGTGAACTTCTCCTTAATAAAACAAATATTGACTGCTTATTTTCAGGTCACAGTTTAAACTATAGCTCCTCTGTGATCTCGAGACTGCACTATTGCCAATAAATTTCATCTTGAGGCACAGTACAATTTGGAGATCACATTGGGCAATTATTTAAACCGTCCTCATCAGAGCATTCAATATTTGTATAATAAATACACACAAGAAACTCCACATTTATCTTTAACATGTAGAGAAAAGCTTTTACTCAACACTCGGGTCGAGTTGCGCTGTAAAACAATCGGGTTACGGCTCACTAGGCCAAGGGATGTGATCAGAGGATTACAGAAAGATTAAAATGATAAACGTTACATAGACCCTTAAGATTCATTAATGTAAGGACGAAAGCAATAGAATAAAATAAAGAGTGTCAATTATTTTAAATCTCTTCTCCAACAAATCCCCCCCCCCCTTATAAGGCAGATTTGAAGACACCAATAAAAATTAAATTGGCCCAGCGAGCCGTGACCCGTGTGTTTTCCAGCGTGCCCTGACCAGATTGTTTAGTAAAAGCCCAGAGAACAATATTTGCTTGGAGTGAGTGGTCCCAAAGACCTTACCTTTATGCACAAGTTGCTCATCCTAAATGCACCTATCGTTGCCTCTTCATGGTTATCTTGAATGTCAATGTTGATGATATGAACTGGGATTTGGGTTTCTTCTTCCTTGCTCTCAAAATCTGTTAGAGGTCAAAGGTCAGATGGCAATTGAAACAAGTACAAAAATAGAGGGGAAGAAGTAAGATTCCCTCTGTGAATGCTACAATTCAATTTTTAAACATATCTTACAGCCCCACTGCACTAGTTTGGCCGGGAGGGATTTAGACCTCCATACATGTTCACTGACAGGTGATTATCTCATTAAATCAGCTCTCATTTAACATAAGAAAAAGAGAATCATGGGGGACCAATAGTCACCGATTAGGGATTGTTTGCTATAAAGAGGGAGAAAGTAGCTATAAGTAGTGCAGTGGGGCTTTAATAGAAACGGTGTAAAAAGTTAAAAGGATTTCTGAAGGTGAATGTTGATGATACGGACCATGATTCGAGTTTCTTCCTCCTGCGTAGGTCAAAGGTCAAATACAATTGAAACAATGGAGATAAGGCAGGAGGAAAAGTTGAATATCTTGTGTGAGGGCTACTGACAGGCATTCTCTGGTTAGTAACAATAAAGTAGTATAAAAAATAGTCAAAAAATATTGAAAGAACAGCACAGAAAATATGTTTTTTGACTAACTCTGAATATATTTGTATCCATCTTTTCTTCCAAATTCTTTAATAGCAAATTTTTTTTTTACATACCCTCCAAAACTTGATCATAGACTCTCTCTTCTGCAGTGAGAACGACATCAAATTTATCCTTAGAATTCTGAAACCTCTCTGGCTTTGACTTTATTCTTCGGTTCCTATCTAGCATATGAAGAATACCATTCTGTGTATATCTGATTTCATATATGTTAAGGGTCTTCAACTTTTAAAGAAAGTAAAGAATACAATTATCAATGAGATTAAAAAGTGATTAATACAACTACCATGTCTCCTAAGTGGTTTACCAATAATAATAATAATAACAATATTCTGCTTATTTAGCACTTTGGTAAAATGTCTCTTAGCGCTTCATAGATATTACACCTGTCATTGGATTCATTGCTTGCCCGCACACACAGTGCTCCCTGGGGAGCACTTCAGCCAGGCGTTACTTGACGCTCAAAAACTGAATACATTTATTACTCTGTTCATCTGATCCAGGCTTGCCTCCGCACATTATGTGCCCTTCTCCAATCCCTGGGGTACTTTCCAGTTTCCAGCCAAGTACCATTTTTACATGCATGCTCAATGCTGATCAATTCACAATGATGTTCACATCATACCAGATGCCCCCTTTTACACCTGGGTGCAGGTCGAGAGATGCAAGTTGCAAAGAAATGACATACAGTATTGATGTTTTGCTTGGGATCAAGTCCAAAAGCTTTGCACCTCCAGTGTAGTAGAGGTGTTGTGGTCTAGTGAACAAGTCACCAGACTGTAGATGACAAGGTACTGTACAGGGTTCAAATCCCAGCACAACACTAACATCAAGATGTTAAATCTACATTTGCCACTCTTCATCCAGGCGTTGAATGGGTAGCCGGTAGGAAGCGAAAGTTGATGTGGTTTGCTCAGCATTGTTAGCATCTGTAAAATGACACCTGGCTAAAATGCTCCCCAGGGAGTGTAGAATGTGCAAACATTGTGTGAATCCAATGACTGGGGTAATAATATATATCTGTAAAGCCATGTAAAAGCAGAATATTATTATTATTCAATAACGGCACCTGTACATGTACGTACTTACACCTATCTACTCTAGAGGTGTCACCACACCTGGCTGATGGGAAGGTCGTGGGTACATGTACAAGCCCTGGCTTGGCACTGTAGTTCTTTTGCAAGACAATTTAAAAAATGGGTACCGATAGGAAGGAATTGCTGAGATGCTTTGACTTTGAGCATTTGAGGATTTTTTAACACTGAAACCAGTAGCCTTGCTTGAGTCTGGGTAAAATTGGAGCACTTTTATATGTACAGTCAAACCTGTCTATAGCGACCACCAAAGGCGAAACTATAGCGAAACACAAAAAGTGGCCTTTGTAGACAGGTTCCTTTAGTACATGATTCAATGAGAAACCATTTTCAAGGGAAACAACAAATGTGGCCTTTGTAGACAGGTGGTCACTAAAGCAGGTTTGACTGTACCACAATAACAAATTTTATCAGTATTATTACTGTTGGCTACTGGGTTTCATGAAATCCCTCATCAAAAGAGGAAGATATTGAAATTTAAAGGGAAAGTCCACCCCCAAAATAAGTTTGTTTCGATAGAGGCAGAATAATAAGAAAATCAGGTGAGTGAAAGTTTGAGCAAATTCTGAATGAAAATAAGAAAGTTATGAATTATTGAAGTTGTGGTCAATCAAATACAAATTGGCAACTCCGTGACTTATCATACGAGCTCTCCTTCATTTGCTTTGTGCATAATATTCCATAAAATCATGTTTTCTTCGTTATTGATGACGGAATATATATTCGTTCCTTGCAGGGGGAGTATAGAAACATATTTGCAATTATTATATTTAGGGTGCATGTATGGTTGAAATTTTTCTTGAGGGAAAATGAAAATTTTAGATTTTTTTAGTACTGAGCAAATGGAAGTTGAGCTCGCATGATACGTCATAGAGTTGCCAATTTGTGTTTGATTGATCACAACTCCAAAAATCCTAACTTCCTTATTTTTAATCGGAATTTGCTCAAACTTTCACTGACTTGTTTCTCTCATTTTTCTACTCCTATTAAAACTAACTTAATTTCAGGGTGGACTTCCCCTTTAATAAAAGGATACAGATCACGGTCCTTGCGTTTCAGGTCCTGATACATCTCTTCATAGGTGGTCTTGAAGTCGTAGATGTTGGGCTTGTCTTGTGCAGGACCAGGCAGCTTTACCGTCGCACCAGTTCCATAGGACTTCACATTGAAGCCTTTCTTGCTGCACAGAAAGTAGAAACAGGTGAAAATGAAATCAAGACCACCGGAAAACAAATATGGCCACTTCAGTGACTTCACATATTGACATTTCACAAAATCAGGTGTGATAGTGAACACTAAAAGGATTCAGGGAGAACAAAATCTAACAACATTCCCCCCCCCCCCTCCCATTTGAGTAAGAAAATTGGGAAGAAATAGGGAAAATATGGAAAATATAGAGAAAATAAAGGGAAAAATCTTGAAAATCAGGATAAAATCGGAAGAAAAAAATAAATAAATGAATCAGGAAAAAAAAATCAAATCAGGAAACCGATTTAAATTGGGTACCGGTAATTATCAGGCCTGCAAAATGTACCTACTTTTAAAAATCAAGAAGTTATTTGATTGCAATATAGAAGTATCTTTCTCTATAAATGTTTAAATGATCGTTGCCAACATTTATTTCAAAATTATTGACTGTTTGAATGATTTTAGACCCTTTGCCACTTATAGTTTTTTATCTCAATGTACAGCCCTCTATGTGCCATGGCATGTTAACAATAACATGTCATTATAAAACAATAACATTAACCAGTAGGGGCGCTGGTCCGCTAATAAGGATCGTCCGCATAAACAATGATCATCTTCGTAAACGCGAACAGACGCGTCCTAAAAAATAAGTATCTTATTCTTATTTCCGATCTGCGCGTTGGTGATGCAAAAAATGGATTCCACGATGATGCTCCTTGATGCATTTCACACTAACTTTGCAAAGATAATTTCACGTTATGAACAATAAATCCTTGGAAAGACGGACAAATCATAAAAGTAGACGGTGAACCGGGTGTATTTTATTACGCTTTTCGCATTGCCAGTGAGCGGATTGGGAACCCTACAATCGCAGAGCTTTGAAGAAAAAAAACTTCTGCGAAAATGCAGACGATCCTTAGGATATCTTCATTCATGTAGAAAAACTGAAGAACCGCTGCTGATTCTCCTCCGTTGCGTCGTGTCTCAAATTTGTGTAGACCATAAACGATTTTACAAGGAGATTTCGAGCACTCACGTGCGTGCACAGCGACAAACAATAATGCACACAATGAATACGAAGTGGCTGATCGGCAAGATTGACAGTAGACACAAAATTTGAAGTTTCAATGAATTTTTCTGACATCGCGCTCACTCGGTAAGTTGAAGATTTACTTACTGACTGGTATTTAGGTGTCATCAATTGTGATTAAAATACTGATTTTTAGTGAACTCAGTTGAGTTGGTGTTTGAAATGTTGAGAATCAATATTCTAGAGGTCGTCTTAACAGTTTTTAATACACAAAAAGTATACTACTAATGCTGCTAAAAACTATGTGTGAAAAAAAATTGATGTAGAGTCTAGACTAGACAGATCTAGACAACAACAACAACATCAACTCAACGTGTTCTCAACAACGTAAATATGAATATGTGGGACCATTAATAGCATACACACACAATTCAGTCTAGCCCCTTTTTGAGCTTCAAGTTATAAAAACATCACAAATGCAAGCATAATTCAAACCTTAGTATGGCATGGGCTTCCATACTCCTGTTCTGATTACTTGAGCACACAACTGCAATTCTAAGAGGCATTTTCAGAGAAATAGAGTGACCGGATTCAAGCGTCCGCGAGATTATGGAAAGTACCATTTAGTGCATAGGGATGTAATGCATGAGACAAAAGTCTCATTAAAAAAAAATTGTTTTGATGATCTCAACCTGCTTTCTAGTGTTTGAAAAATGGGATCATACAAAATAATTAGTTTCAACCATTTATAATTTGCTCTGATGCATAACTTTTACCAGTTTTACACTGTTAAAAAAATGGGTCAAAGCTTTATATTGTTTTTACCCTAAAATAAAAATAAATTATTCTAAGTTACCCACAGTTCCAACTTGCAAAACTAGGGAGATGCACTTCCGATATGTATTATTGATAAATTTGACGAAGCTCGAGCGAGGTAAAACAAACATTAAACCATTTTTAAATCATTTTAAAGTATGGTTAAAAATCGAAATAAATCCTTATGAAATTATGCATCTCTATTATCGTTTGCTGTGAATGTTGCTTCTGTATGGCTCGCTATATAATAAGTTGTCTGGATTTATATTTTGCTTCGGCAAGCAAGTTGTGTTCAATGCAAATTTACATGTAGACTAGGCTTCTGTATGTACAATGCACGGCGCGGGGTAAACGCAGCTGCTAGCTGCTGCTGGCTGCTGACCGCGACATCATCCGTGCACAACACGCTGCCTGCCATGCCCCAGGCCCTGCCCCTGTCCCTGTCCTGTACATGCTGTAGATCTAGGCCTTAGCTGTGACCGTACATAGTAGTAGAGGTCACTATTCAGGTTGAATATAAGTATACCATTTGGCCTTCTCATGAAATAAACGGCAAATAAGCAACACTGGTCACTACCTGGCACTAGGGCGCTGGTCCGAGAATGAGGATTTCCGCAAAAACGAGGATATCCTCGTAAACGCCAACATATTTTATTTTGACCTAAAAAATAGGGATAGTTTATATTTTCGCTGACGTTTTTTTTCAACAACGCCCTGCAGGTTTTGGGTTTCTGAACCGCACGCCAGTGATGCGAAAAACGGATTCTGCGTAAGAAAATAACCCCAGTTTACCGTCTACTTTTACCTACCTTCCCATAGGCATAGAACTTTCAGTCTACATGCATTGTGCACTCATGGAAAATTGGTCAATGTTTTTATCACCAAATTGAGATTCAAACCTTTATTCTTCCTGAACTTGGCGATACAAAACAAATGAGGTATCATAATAATATGAAAATTGAAAGAGCAGTTTTTTCTCCACATTCCCCCAAACCATGCATCTCTGAACTCTAAAAGTATCTTGATCAAGAAGGCGATTTAAACACTGTTTTCATCGTAGACCTAGCTCAGAGATTTCCCACTTATGAGAAATGCACTCCCAAGGGATGAGTAGATCTAGTTCCAGTCGTAAGGAATATATCTCCAAGGGATCACATAAGATTACAGTTTGAACGGAGGTTTGCATGCCCCCCATGGGATGCGTATTGACCACAATTAAAGGTACTAGATCTATGTCCCATTTGCAGGCCAAAAAAATGAAAAAGTTAAATTCCAACTGCATTTGTAAGATAATACTAATTTAGAACTTCCCTAAAAAAGGTGGGGTTTGAAAATGTCTTTAAGTGGTAAAATAACGACTATTAGTTGTCAAATCGACTTTAGGGCTATAGAGCCCAAAAGTAATAGTCTTGATTTTCAGACAATTGTACCGAATGGTCATACATTTTATGCTGCGCAAAGATTCAATCAGTTTAATCTTGGCCATCACAAGAAGTGGGTTATTGATGTAGACAAATGCTCATGTACCCTTTACAACTCTTTTCATGTATTTTATTACCAAAGAAGAAAAAAAGCCAGTCAGTCACTCAATAGTGTCTGACAGTGAAGTCTAGCAATTAAACAGGTTTCCTTGCATAATTTGAATATGAGGACACTGCTAACGTTTAAATTTCACAGATAGGACATACATGACATATTCATAATTCCTGCAAAGTTCTACAGAATTTGAGGTTGGCTGCAAAAGGGACATAGTACCTTTAACATACATATGCCTGTCCTTCGACTTCTTAGTTGACAGCTCTCTACTAGAGCTCCGAGGAGCAGACAAGGTTGCAAGGAAATTTACACTTTGAATTGTTTCTCTCTTCTTTATTATTGGTAAAGTATTGAACAGAAAATGGCCTATTACTGTACATGCACCTTTGACTTGCCCTTTTAATACCAGTTTGCCAAAAGAAGAACAAATTATACTTACTATTTTTTTCTTTCTTATATATATATATATGTAATCGTACATGTGATGATGTATTTATTGTCATTATTATTATCATTATTATCTTTCTAAAATAGATTTATTGATTCATACCTGTGGAGGAGAATGCAAACGAAGCATTCATCTTAGACTTCCTTGATCTTCTCGTGTCTGAATCTTTCTGGTTACGATGGAGGGAGGAGGAGGGGGACCGCCAAGGCATCAGGGCCACCAGGGACACCAGGGCCACCAGGGCCACCAGGGACACCAGGGCCAGGGACAGTTCTTTCATCAGCCTCGACTGCCATACTACCAGATCAAGCCCAACTATTACAGCAATCATCGTAGACCGCACCATCACAGGTATGATCAGGGTTCTCCCTCGGTTCATAATGAACTTGATAATAATACAGTGGAACCTCATTATAAACAGTGTTTCACAAAGACTAAGATCGACTTTAAGTTGGACTTGACTATGGCAGGCTATTCGTGCCACTGTTTTCTCTCGTCATTTACTGGCATTGGTTTCTCAAGCGACGTACCAATCGTCACAAATCTACAGAATTTACATTTTGTTATTGTTTATTATTGTAGGAAAAATTATAATCTAAAGATCATAATTGAGAGACCAATGGTGAGAGCAACTAGGGGCATGAATGGCCTGCCATAGTTAAGTCCAACTTAAAGTCGATCTTAGTCTATGTGAAACACACCCCTGATATATAACAAGGTAATTTCCACGGTCCCAAAGACCTACATTTTTAGTTATAACGAGATTCCACTGTATCAAATAAAGTTTTACCCAACAAAATTATAGACAAGCATACCAATCCATTTATATGCAGTTTTGACTATTAGGGTGTGTGATATAATATTTTTTTGACTGCAGAAGAGAGATATAGTCTCATAAGGGGTTATATCTTTAATATGTTGTATTTGATTTTAAAATATGATCACATGGGAAATGTAACCAGCTGATTAAGCCCTTAGTGATTAAGTCCTAACCCTACATCTCGCATGAAACAAAATCACAAGTTTCTTTGATTGAATATTTACCAAAATTCAAGCCCAGAAAAATAACTGGGCAAAACATTAAATAATATGCACCATTAATACAAAGAAAAAGGATATTTTATGCCTCGTGTTATAATTTCTGTTGCTGAGGTATTAATGAAAAATGATAATTATATGATTGATTTCTATGAAGACATCAAGAACATGGGCCAACGAATGCCACGACCTTTGACCAGAAGAGGATGAAGAATAACCTGCAGAGGCGAACGGTTGATTACAATACGTCAGTCATCAAATATCTTCAGGTAAGGATTGGTAGAAAAGAAAAGTTTAGAAAAGTTTGGATTGTATTGTTGGTTCTTTGTGGAGTGACTATCAGCCATTTGTTGAAGTTTCAAAGAACAGAGCCCCCTCAAAAGAATAATAAATAATAATGTTCCACTTTTATATAGCGCTTAAAGTCACACTGTCCTACTTGTAGCTACTTGCTCCCTCTACATGTATATAGCAAACAATGCCTAATCGGTGACCATTGGTCCCCCATGATCCTCTATTTCTTATGTTAAGTGAGAGCTGATTTGATGAGATAACCACCTGTCAGTGACCTTGTAGGGTGATCTAATCCCTCCTGTAAACTAGTACAGATGTGCTTTAAGAATGGATTATCTTGTTGGTTCTTTGTTTAGTGCTCAGTGGCTATCAGCCTTTTTGTTGAAGTTTCAGAGAACAGAGCCCATTCAAAAAAACTCAACAATAAAAGGAGCAGGCCTCAAAGAGTATAACATTTATTTCAGTAAACCATTTCACTGTGTTGGCAGTCATGCATGATGCCCACCTAAGCCTGTTTGGGTAACTTGCAGTATATGTGAAATTACAGATTTTTCTATACCCACAGGCTTGTAAAAATGCTTTAAAGTCGTTGTTTAACAATGTTTACAGTTTTACAAATCTGAGATGCATGGCCCCACATGTTATCAGTGTCTGGTGTCTGTGATATGGTTTAATATTGAAGCCCTGCAAAATTTGCGCGTCACAATGATCATGAAGTGCCTCAAAAAAGTAAAAATCTTTGAGTGACCGGTTTTACCATACCATTTTTTCCCCAATAAACCATTAGGAAAATGGTTCTTGAAATTTTGATTTCCTATCATAAATATCTTGATAATCAGACAGGCGATCGGCTTGTAAAAGTCATGGGGTTCCTGACTGATCTAAAGGTTTATAATTATGATTGCAGCATGAGCTAAATCCAGGATTTTGTTTAGAATTTGATGCAAAGATACCCAGTCCCTTTAATGAAATTTAAAACTCATCTTTTAGACAAGAATTTGGCAGCGGGACTACAAGGATGCAAGAATGATACAGCCAGACCACTCATATATAGGAAATGTAAGTAGACCTTTATTTCTTTAACAACACAAAAGAGGATTATTAGTCCACTCGCAAAAAACAGAAGGAAGGAAGATTGTATCTGTTTAGAGACAGGGAAAAAATAATAAGCTGGACAAGAAAATTATACAGATTAGACTAGGGAAGAGAAGTAGCATAAAAAATATGTAAATATGCTGTTTTAGCTTTGGAAAATTGAAAAAAACTCAAGCTTGGCAAAAGGTGGGGGGGGGGGCATTCCTACATGTATGAGGAGAATAGTTGGGACTATGAGAACAGTAAATGAAAAAAGAAAAAAGAATTAGAGGTGAAGTCACAAATTGCACATTTCATTGCATTATAGATATTCAGTGTATATGATGTGAGACCCTCTGTGCTTTGTCAAGAATCTCCTAAAAATGTTCTGTTCTGTTTTCTGTGAAGCTGAGTTTGCCTCATCAGATGTTGGACAACCCTATCAATGCAGTAACAACTCGATTCGTGCGGACTTCAACCAACAAGGTCCGATGCCCTATATTTTGCGTTGTGGTAAGTGTTTTCAAAAGTCACCAACATTGCCTACAGAATAAAGAAGATTTAAGTACATGCTGCTCTAATTTTATTGTCATTTTGTTGATTCCAAAACCTAACAGTATACACCAAAACTTATCTGCTACATAAACAGCCTTTTCCTGTTGCTTCCACACAGTTTCTTTCACAATGCAATCCTGTGACCAGAACTCAAATTTTATCTTTATGGGCAGTAAGTTCATTTTTGCAGACTTGTGCGAAACTTGGCAAGTGTTTGAAATATATCCTTCAGATGTCGTGTGTACAATGTTACAGTCTTCTTTGTACAAATTCTTTGTAAGAAATGAAAATCTAGCACTGTTGTCATATTACCGCTGAGGAAGCTTTTCTTAAATCAACAGATATAACGGTCAAATTAATTTTGAATTCCGCACAATACTTTTTTTAGGTCTAGAAAATAAATATCTGGAATTAAACATTCAAAATCTGTTTGTTGAAAACCAGTTTCATTTTTTTCTTCATTTGGTGGGAGATTTCTAATAACAGACCTCTTCAAGATACCGCTGGATTCATGGAACTTCAGGTTTTTAGGTCTGGAAAAGAGACAAATCGTCCTTAGAGCCTTCATATCACCTTTACATGCACCCACCATTTTATAAACCCGTACAGAAAGCATGTCCATCTCATTTCATTTCTTTCTTATCTATGATGTAGTGGACACCAGAAGGAAGGAGGCTGGTTACTGGGGCGTCGAGTGGGGAGTTTACTTTGTGGAACGGACTTACGTTTAATTTTGAAACAATTCTTCAGGTAAGCATTCACGACTTTCATATATCTTAACCCTATTTAGCCCGGGCTATTTTGAAACTGCATAGCCCGGGGGGGGGGGCTTCTAAGGCCCCCCCCCCCCCTATGATCTCGGCCGTGAAACGCCCGATCGCCGCGAAAATTTGCATACATATCAAGTGAAGTGTATAGAATACTATGATAATTTCAATTTTTTTGAAAAATTCACTCATTTGCATATTTCTGGTAATTTATGCAAATAAGGTCATTAAATTCACATTTTTGCCCATAAATCAGACATTATTCATATTTAAGCATTCTTTCTCACTACATTTATTTGTTAGACCATTTGGAATAATAATACAACACAAAAATTTGAAAAACCAGGGTTATTCCTTATGTTATCTATTGTTTTGATAATTTCTTATGTATTTCTTTGTTTTTTTAACTTATGTATTTTATTGTTTTTGTTGTTTTATTTCATTTCCAACTATAATTCAACTATTTTGACCCCAAAATAAACACCTAAAATCTAAACAAGACCAAATAACCAATGTTTTACCTCTTTGTTTGAAAAATGAGATTTCCATATGTTTTGTACACAAATCACAAAAATGAGCAATTTTCGGGCTGACATGCGAAGACAAAAGGACACGTGCCTTTGTAATGGTAGGTCCGATTTTCAAAAAATTTCTTTCAAAAGTTGCGCAAGACTCGAAAGAAAAAAGTCACAAAATTTCAGTGCAAGATTTTCTTGCGTTAAAAAATTATCGCGAAAAATGTCGAGGGGGGGGGGCTTCTCAAGCCCCCCCCCCGGGCTAAATAGGGTTAAAGAATCGTGAGTCTGAAGCTGGTGTGAACAGTCGATGCCATTTCAACTTTAATCTTTCTATCCTACGTCCTTTTGATCGATGAGTCAAGTTAGTAGATGGGTATTTCCATAAATTAGGGACCCACTTCGTAACATTTTTGGTGTCCTAGTAACATAAGGAACCCACACGTATTTGTGGCTTTGAGTAAAGACTGATTCTAGGTATGAGGATGCAATATTATGCCTGGAATTACCCAGATACATGTACATGTGTAATTGGCTATTATTTCAGATTGTTGACGGAAATCAAATGCAATCAGTTAGACTTGCTCAATCTCTCCCCTCCCCCTCTCTCTCTCTCCCTCTTTATTAGTCGCTCTATCTGTCTCGGTCTATTTCTTTCTTTTTTGTACATTCAAACCTGTCTATAGCGACCGCCAAGAGAAACACACACTAAAAATGTGGTCTTTGTAGACAGGTGGTCACTACAGCAGGTGTGACTGTATCAATGCTTTTATTATGCCTCCGCCACCGAAGGTGGTGCCGGAGGCATCATGTTTTCGGGTTGTCCGTCCGTACGTCCGTCCGTCCGTCCGTCCGTACGTCCGTCCCGTTTGACCGTTATCACAATATCTCAAGAACCATTTAAGATTTAAACTTAAGACTCGGGAATAGTATTTATCACCATAGGAAGACGATCTGATTAGATTTTGGAGTACGTAGGTCAAAGGTCACAGGTCACAGAGGTCAACTTATGAAATTCCTTGTATTGAGTTTGTTAGCGCGATATCTCAAGAACCATTTGAGATTTAAACTTCAAACTTAAGGATAGTATGTATCACCATAGGAAGACGATCTGATTAGATTTTGGAGCACGTATGTCAAAGGTCAAGGGTCACAGAGGTCAACTTATGAAATTCCATACATTGAGATTGTTATCATGATATCTCAAGAACCACTGGAGATTTAAACTTCAAACTTGGTGATAGTGTGTATCACTATAGGAAAACAATCTGATTACATTTTGGAGCACGTAGGTCAAAGGTCAAGGGTCATAGAGGTCAACTTATGAAATTCCATACATTGAGATTGTTATCATATCTCAAGAACCACTGGAGATGTAAAAACTTCAAACTTAAGGATAGTATGTATCACCATAGGAAGACGATCTGATTAGATTTTAGAGCACGTAGGTCAAAGGTCAAGGGTCACAGAGGTCAACTTATGAAATTCCATACATTGAGATTGTTATCATAATATCTCAAGAACCACTGGAGATTTAAACTTCAAACTTAATGATAGTGTGTATCACCATAAGAAGACAATCTGATTAGATTTTGGAGCACGTAGGTCAAAGGTCAAAGGCCACAGCGCACATTATGAATGCAAAAACAGCTTGTGATCGCGTTATCTCAAGAACCGATTGATGGATTCATGCCAAAATTAGGTCATGTTTGTTACTTGCAGAGCCAATGAACTGAGTAGATTCTTGGTTCATAAGGTCAAAGGTCAAAGGTCATGGGCCCATTATGTATGCAAAAATAGCTTGTGAACGCATTCTCATTAGAACTGACAGATGGATTACTATTTAACTCAGAACATCTTGCAGAGCCAATGAACTGAGTAGATTTTATGGTCATGAGGTCAAAGATCAAAGGGTCATATATGTATATGAGAAATTGCTTGTAATCACAATATTCTGAGAACCTGTCAATGGATTACCATTGAACGTGAATTCAATTTTTTTTTTCTGTTTTGGTTTGTAAAATTGCTCTATAACGGAGGCATCATTTTCGACTGCGCGCAGTCGAATTCCATCTAGTTTCAGTTGTGATGTGAGTAGAGTACTATGTTCAGTCATCATGTATCACAGTTTTATATATTTCTTTGAATGAAAATTTGATAAGGGCCATTCCATGAGAAGAAGGACATGACATCAAAAAAAGAAATGTACCTCTTATGTTAATTCTTTGATTTATCACTAACCTTATGCCATGGATGTTCAAAGAAACATTAGGGCCTTTCAAATTCAATACAATTTATTTTTCATTTTTGTTGATTTCCTAAGATCTAAAACCATCATCAAAAACGTACATGTGGGACTGTAGATGAAAAAAAAACAATTTATTGCAGATTACACAGGATTCTTGTAATATTTTTTCCTGAAAATTTCGCTATATGGAAAAAGATGAATATATTTCCATATTCTAAGGGGTCCTGTGATATTTAATCTATTACATAGGGGTGAAAATGGCCTACGGACAAAATGTAACGCGAGTTACCGTAACGTGAGTTACCGACATATTTGCTTCCTGCATTTTACTAGTCCATTGTTTCTTATCTTTAATATTGTGATCTTAGTAAGTCACAACTTACTATCAAATTAAAGTAGGAAAGATTTTGTCAAGATTGTCTAGTATGAGGAGACTTTGCCAAAAGAGGGTCTCATAGAATTGACCATGTCCTTTTTTTGTAACGCAAGTTACCGAAATTTAATAATCCAAGAATCTAAAAATGTTTGTTCTTCAATTTTCTTTTTTGTTTCATTCAGTTGTTCTATATCTACCCTGTCCATGTTTGAAAAAAGTATCTTGTAGATCCTAGCAGTTCTAAAGATATAGGCACATTATCGTGTCAATGTACCCATTAGGTGTAACGCGAGTTACCATGGAATGGCCCATAATCAATTAATATGAGAAAAATAATGCTTCTCTATATACTACGTTTGTATAACCCAAAGCCATAGAAAATTTCTAGAGCAGTAATAATGGAATGCCATATTATTAGAACCATCTACCTGAAGAACCTGCTTCTTATCACCTTTAGATTTATCTTTCATCCTGTATTTATAAAATAATGGATCATCATATATGTTCAAAGATCAATCAATTTTTTTTGCCCTCTGATTGGTTTACACGCAATGTAAATGAAGTAACATTTTGTGCTTGGTCAAAGTCTGGAAGACGTTATGCAAAGGGTGACATAATTATTTGTACAGAATACTAAGGATCATGACAGTAAGTATACTAAGTAAACTTTCTAATGCAAAACATTCTTTGTGATATGCTCGGGGCTTTTGCTAGTACATAACCCTCTTGGCGATCATAGAATTTGCAGGTGTCTCCATAAAGGCAAAAACAAAGGATACATTCTAAATATGGGTTACATGTTGATGAATATCAGCAGACAGCTAAATAGTTTTGGTCCTCCTAGCTCCCGGCTCCCAGACCATCTGTCATGGCTGCTGCAATAAATAATATAGTTAGGCGAATTATGGAATCGATCAGATCAGTTTTTCCCAATTTTTGTCATTAACAATGGTCTGTTTTCACTCAAACTTTCAGATTATCTTTAATTGTTATCTAGTGTTGAAGTCACTACCTTGGCACCAGAGTCTCTCATCTGAACAATGTTACTAAGTCCTTTTAAGAACTGTGCCCCTTCTCTCATCATTTTAGAAGAATATGATGTGAAAAGGGGATACAGTGCTGGCAGTTGTTAATCTTGTTTCTGTTATGTATCAGTCAATTTATTCCATCTCATTTACATCCTGAAATCTACGATTATGTGATGAGATATGTGTCATCTTGAGAAATGGCTGGTTCAAGGGAACTTCATAATTATTCTTGAAGAAAATGGAAAGAAAGAAATATATAAATATTAAATTTGTTTATAATACAGGCTTCTCGTCATCTTCCAGACACCCAAATATATTTCTTTAATCGTCTTTTACTGCTCATTGCATTTGTCTTTTTTTAGTAGTTAGCACCCCAGAACACAAAACACATGCGTAGTGCCTCTAGGATTAAAACTAAGCTCGATTGTTTCTTTGTTCGCAGGCCCACGAGTGTGCCGTCCGGACGATGACGTGGAGTCGCAACGACATGTGGCTACTGACCGGAGATGACCAAGGCTTCATCAAGTATTGGCAGTCCAACATGAACAACGTGCAGATGTATCAGGCCCACAAAGACCAAGCCGTCCGATGCGCAAGGTACTACAACCTAACAGTAGCCCAGTCGGGAGGCATTCCAGCCAAATTATTCAGTAGCAATTTGAAGAAAGAGAAGTATAATGTTACTTGTAGTCGTTCATTAAGAAGTTTTCTATGTCACCTATGTTTCGATGATTCTTATGCCACATGTATATTTATATCAACAATTGCAATGCTCCTTCAGACTGTCTGGATTTATACAGTACATTGTATTTCCGTGGGGTTTACTGTATTACAAGTTCTATTGCACTATGTATCTGTAGATTGTACGGCTCACTTGAAAATTAACGTAACGTTTGTTTTGAATATGATTATTATATTAAGTGCTGCCACTAAGAATTCATACAAATGTTTCGATTATAAAGAAATAAATTTTGAGAAGTGTATGAGAGTGATGCGAGAGAAGAAATGGTAATTGACAAGAAATAAAAATTAAAAATAAAAGGACTTATTGAAATAAACAAATGCATGCCATTGATAAATTTAAGTGAAACTTTATATTACTTTGGAATTGTTTTCAATGATTAAATTTGAAATGAATTGAAATACATATTTGAATAAATTCAAATTAAAAAAAAAAATCATCAAATATAAATACAGGAAAAATTAATAAAATTGAAGGAAATGGATACAAGTGTGTGAGAAATAATGTTTATAGGTTTGTGTTCAATGAGCATGAGACAGAAAAATATATTCCAAGTTTGCAGCCAGTGCAGGATGAGATTAAGTTAGTTGTGAGAGTGTTTTAAAGAGAAAGAGAGAGAGTCTTTGCCTTAAGTTTCTAAGCAAATCTTTCAATACATTAAAAATGTACCATAGCTCAGCTTTACACACAAAATTTGATTTATTACAACTATCAAATACACATATCAAAACAAAATTAAAGACTTTTTAATATCTTTACAATTTGAGTCATGTATATGTACAATATTTGTTTTATATCTGAATGATATTCTTATTTGTAAACCAGTTTTTCACTAAGTGGTAAACTAAATTCCATTGTATGTAAGTTAATCTTGCGCACGTTGACACTTTGGCTTGGATAACTTTGAATGTTCAGATTTCCCCCTTATTTCTTTAAAAAGAATCTCTGCAGAAGTAGAAATTGATCACTCTGACTTTAGCGATGTAAGTATCAAGTCCTTAATGTTGAAGAACTAAGGTTCATCTGGTCATGTCATTCATAGAAGGCTACACTCCACTCACATTTTTCAATTACACCATATACATTTGTGAAGTACGTCTCAGACATTAGCAAACTGGGTGGGACGTTGCCCAACTACTTTAAGCCCCACTGCACTACTTGTAGCTACTTGCTCCTTCTATATAGAAAACAATGCCTAAGTGGTGCCCGTTGGTCCCCCATGATCCTCTTTTTCTTCTTTTAATTGAGAGCCGAGTTGATGAGATTACCACCTGTCAGTAACCACGCTGGATGGTCTAATCCCTCCCGGCCAAACTAGTACTGACGGGCTTTAAAGGTGCAAGACTGACATTTTCCGTTGTAATTTGCTTAGGTTCCATACACACTACTCGTATCCAAACAATCGTGTCACAAGGGGGAACTTTTCTGAAAACATGTGAAACACATAAATTTCCAACTTTTTTTTTACTCAAGTTGCTTCACAATGATTACTCTCTGCAGAACATGCTCATTGAGTGCAGAAAGGTTTTGTACACATTGGAACAAATTAATCTTGGAATAAAGAAAGAAAAGTTAAAACTTCTTCGTACGAATACAACAAAATTTTAAAAAAGGCAAACAAATCAAGACAACAACAAAATGATATCCACATGATCTGAACATTTTGTAATGGTTTGTTCCCAGTAGGGTCGATGTAAGTAAAATTGAATGTATTTACTGTATTCAACTAATGATACCTTTGGTACGTGATCTTTAAAACACGATGTCCATACAAAATGTCTGAACGTTTACCAGAAAGAAATCCAAATACTAAGAGTACAACAATTTCTCTCCAGAAAATTCAGTAGTCATAAAAATTCAACTATTCTTCCGAACAGTGTTAAGAATCTGTTTTAAGACATGTACAACCTTACTACTACTGAACACCCTATTTGCTCTTAAGTGGAAAGCTGTGTCTTGAGGAAAAAATATTGAAAGGTAACTTTTGTCACTCAGTGAACATCATATTTTGCGTGTGAAATAATCGAGAACAGTCTGTTTATGAGGAGTGTTTGTTTGAAAGACTATACAACTAATTACAAGAGCTTGTGCAGATGTCAAAATTGAAGCTTTCCCATTTCTCAGCCTGATATGCTGATTTTCATAAATAGATATTTGCTTTCTTCTTGCAGGAAATTCAAACTCAGTATGGTGATAACAATTGAAACTATGCGCTTCATTGTGTTGTCACAGTCAAATGACATGTTCCCCCTTTGAAAATCAATTATCTTGTAAATTTGAGGAATGTATTTATATATTTTTCTTTTTAAATATGAAATATGGGGGAGAAGTGCAATTTGTCACAAAAGAAACGACTTAAAAAAAAAAAAAACTTAAAAAAAAACGAATAGTCTACCTTGTGAAGCTGTTCATAATATTTTATATTTCAAGAAGTCTCAAATCTAAATTCCAAAAATCATGTCCTAATAAGGTTGCTTATTAGTTTAGAAAGGAGCCTTAATCATCTATTGTACTGGAAAAGTCTATTGAAAAGTTTAAAACTAAATTATTTCCTGTGCTTTTCATATGAAATAGAATCGTCTCATTTATGTATATGGTGTGGGTTAGAGTGGTGAATCAATTTTGACATTTGCATTTGATTTTTTTTTGTGTGTGTGTGTGTGTGCATTTGATGTGATATCTTCTGAGTTCCTCTCTTGCCAACCCCAAAATTTCATGTTTCTCCCAAGATGAAACATTGTCTTTTATTATATTCTTATGGTATTGACTATACTTCTTAAAATCTTAACATCGATCAGTCTCACATTTGATATTTGGTGCTGACCTTTATTTTCCCCAAAGAAGTCTCTCTTTTTTGTTTGGAGGGGGGGGGGGGGGGTAAATAAGTACACTGCAATTTGTTGATACTGTTTTCCTAAATTCATAGGTGAAATATATTTTTGTCTGCGGATTTGTTTTACAGATCGAAGCATATTCTAGGGATCATGTTGAGCAAAGAGAAGTCACCTCAGAAGATTTCATATTTGAGCCCCTCCCCTGTACACTAGGCAAAAGTTTTGGAGAAAGTGGCGATTGGAGTACATGCATGTTCAGAAGATTTGAAATCTCAAAATATTTTATAATAATAATAAAAGTAATATGTCTTGTTATGTCAACCCAGGGTAGTCTCATCAGTATCAATACTGTTCTCTCTGAGGGCCCTGCAATCGTATTATTACTCCGGCTTCCTGGTTCGTGCTGATCATATATTTAAATCAGACAGAAACCCCCAGTCGGGTTTTAATTGGGGCAGTGTTTGATCAGTTACTAGATTGTGACTAGTCATCACTGACTAGGTAAATTTACCACAAGGAAGGTGCTGGAACTCAATGCCAAAATTCTTGGTCTAACTATTGGTACATAATGACTATTACTGAATCTCAGACAAGAAAGGTTGTTCTCATTGAAAAAAATATTCTAATGCATGTGTCTTACTCTAATCGAAACCTTCTCCAAATCTTGTTGTTGTCGCATTGTAGAGTATTCAGAGGTCTTTAAGATGATGTTTGTATCTGGAGCTGTGAGCATTAGAGAAGAATGGGAGAGAAGTTGATAGAACTCTGCTTCATGTACATGTAACAGTTAAAATGAGAGATTGTAGATTTTCAGATTGTAATAGATGTTGTGTAATTGGTGTAGTCGAGGAGTGCTTTTGCCAACCTTTAAAATTGGGGCTCAAAATCTTGTTAGGTACATTGACATTTTAATTTAGGCACTTTAGATAGCTGCTGTCTATGTTTGTATTTACCGTACCAGAGTTTTCTTTCTTTCTTATAAAAAAAATATAACCTGTACAAAATTTTGAACACAGCCCCCGTTTTTTTTCTTTTCACAAAATGAGGTGTGTTCCCTTTGAAACAATCAACAAAAGACTGAACCTAGTTTCTTGGAATTAAAAGGTAGCATTTACCTCATGAAACTATCAAACTGGCAGATCTTTTCAATTTATTTGATAAAGTTTATTGTTTCATATGATTCTGGTATATCAAAACTCTCCCATAAAATTAAATTACCTTTTTCCTCCTTTGTGTATTAAACAGGAATAGAGGAAGATTAATAACAGAAAAAGATGGTACACATCAGGTACTCGTCAAACCAAAGGCATTTGGTTCACATGATCAGAGCCATCTATACACAGAGTTTGGCCAACTTGGTTTTACTGGGCTAACATGGCGTCTTAACTTTTGTTTTGTGCTTGCCCAACAAAGCAGTAGTCGCCATATTGTGTCAAACTCGAACCGGGTTGGCCAAACTCTGTGTATAGATGGCTCTGCACATGATGTAACAAATCACATTTTTGATGTCGTTTTGCAGAATTCTATCAACAGTCCATGTAACGTAAGCCATGATATCCCCCTAAGTATAAACATCGATCGCTGATTTTACCAAGAGACATCAAATTACCATATGTGTCCTCACCTACTCCCTCCCCTTCCACCAGCTTTGCGCCGTTAGATACCAAGTTCTGCACCTGCTCGGACGACGGGACCGTGCGAATCTGGGACTTCCTGCGATGTCACGAGGAGAAGATCCTTAGAGGTACGTGGTGTTCATTTTCTTTTCCGATCGATGGCCGGTGATGTAGACGCGAGGAGAAATGATAAGAGTCTAGGCTTTTTCTGCATGGTTGAAAACTCCGGCAGAGATCTTCCACAAGGCCTGTTTTCATCAGCTCGAGATTGCCAAATATTCCGCTATTTGAACTATCCTGATCGCAAATTATCCAGTTAATTTGCGTCTTCATCAGCCCGAAGTTGCAATTAGCAGGATGTTTTGTTGAGATGATCATCCCAAGATATCTTGGACTAGTTTGCAAAATATTCCGCTATTTGTCCGATGCGTCTTCACCAGCCCGAAGACTCGCACTATACTCGCACCGTGTACGAACGCTGAGCAAATATCTTGAGCTAATTTCTTGAGCTCTAGTTTCAAGTTTTGAGCTGATGAAGACACGATTTGTAGCTTCAGGATTATTTCCCAAATCAGAAATAGCGGGCTATTTGGCAATGTCGAGCTGATGGAGACAGGCCTACAGAAACATCATCAGCTGTCCACAAGAGGGACCTAAGAGCTGTGTATTCTCAATGGCTGTAAGAGCCTTCATGCGGGCAGATGATAATGCAAGGCACCCACTTCAATGTTGCATTATCAATTTTATTACAAGCTTAGCAGCTCTTCTGTACTACCATGTATTTTCATGCCCAAAACTTTAATTTTGCAAGTCTGGAATAAGGAATTGATTGAAAGTTGAGCACACTAAATTGACCTTTGTGAATTGGTCGTTCGCCTTCATCCCTTAGACCTGTAGTCGAAATGTGAAAAGCATTTTGGCCTTATGACGTCTACTCAATAAAAGGCGTGGACAAATTAAAATTAAAGTGACTCCGTAACATTGTTGAAGGTTGATGAAAAAAAAGGGACATTTTTGTATGAAATGTTACTTACCCGGTATTATATTCCTTCTACTGTACTTACCCTCTAACAGGCAAAAGATCCTGAGAAAATTCTCAAACTACAAAGATATTTATGGTATTAGTTGAAGTGATTTAAAACAGTAAATTCTCCCTACCATTTTTGAATTTTCCCAACCTTTTTTCCTTGTAAATATGACGTAAGACAGGCTTTAAAAAAATATTTCAACACTTCATTGTCTGGAATGGTATATAGAGCCAATTCATTGCTTTGTGACAATTTACATTTACCTACAATGTAATTAAATTGTAATAATATAGTTGGGAGAATTAATAAATCAATCAGATCAGTTTTCCCCAATTTTTATTATTAATAATGGTCCGTTTTCACTAAAACTGTCAGATTATCTTTAATTGTACATCTAGCATTGAAGTCACTACCCTAGCACCACTCTCTCTCAACTGAACAATGTTACCAAGTCCCTTTAAGCCATTTTGAGTGTCGAAACAAATGGGGAAAGATTTGTTAGCCTTTACATATCAGAGGGACGCAATCAAATTCGCAATTTGAGGTTCTCTTGTATGTGATTCATAACTTTGTAGTTAAACTAACGATGTTCAAACTTTCTCCCACTGGTCCGTTTCTCTATAATTTGTATACCTTCAAATCGCCTTTCTCTAAAAGTTGGAATGCCTTTTAATCAATGAGTCTGGCCAGCGAAAAGTTACTGGTCCACATGTTTTGAGGATGAAAATGTCCATTGATGCCTTTGGATTATATGACACATAGACCAGCAGTGAAACTTGTACTATTATAACAATAATAATAGTCATTTGTATAATAATTTTATAGCGCTCAATGTTACATTTCTAAGCACTTTCCATTGTAATTATTATCACATCGGTCATAATCTGTACATGATAGTGCACACGCTCCACTCCCTGGGAACTGTTTCATTAAATAGTATGCCTCCGTTTGGACTCCATATAGATACATGTATAGTTTACGATCCTGTAGCATGCTCCTCAACACAGCTAGTTTGTAATTAAAGCCAGCCACATGAATATACCCCAGTGTCTTAATTCTAATTATTCCATGGCCAAGATATTGAGAGGGGGGGGGGGGGTCTTGGCAGAATCTTCCCACCTCCCTGACTGAGAGATAACTAAAATACTACATGACTTGGCCCTTATAAGATGACACAGCAGTAACAGAGTAAGTGTGGTGCCCTGGGGATGTTTCACAATGATCATAAAGTCAAACTTCACTCTAAGTTGGACTTAGAAATTATGGAAAGCCTTTAGCATCCTTGAACATTTTTTGTAAAAGTTATTTTAAAAGGCATAAAATGTTGATTCAAATCTTTCATATTTTCTATTATTATGGGAGATTTCATGTTCTTGATGTGGAATTTATGAAAAGTTTAAAATACCTGAATTTTTGTTTTTGAATATATTTCATTATAAGGCTACAAATGGCTCTCCATAATAATTAAATCTAACTTAGAGTTAAGCTCAACTTAGGATCTTTGTGAAACACTCTCTGGCTTTGTAAGATGACACAGTAGTAACAGAGTAAGTGTGGTGCCCTGACCTTGATTAGTTATGCCCCGTTTCATTCTGCTTCCTGTGTCAAAGGTCATGGTGCTGACGTGCGGTGCGTCGACTGGCATCCGAGCAAGAGCATCGTCGTGTCCGGCAGCAAGGACTCCCAGCAGCCGGTCAAGCTGTGGGACTCCCGGACGGGGGAGTCCCTCTGCACCCTCCACGCCCACAAGTCCACCGTCATGTCGGTCAAGTGGAACATGAACGGTAACTGGCTTCTGACCGCGTCCAGGGACCACCTGGTCAAGCTCTTTGACATTCGCATGATGAAGGAGCTGTTCACATTCAGGGGGCACAAGAAAGAGGCAACATGTATGAACACACCCTGTGACATTACCCCTTTCCACATCTAAGCAGAAAATTGTCCGAAACATGTCAGTGAACATTTGAGCAAAAACTGATTAAAAATAAGAAAGTTACGATCCCTCAAACACAAATTGCCAACACTGACGTAGTTTGCGAGGTCACAACTGCAAGAATTTTTATTTCTTATATTTAATAGGAGTTTGCTCCAAGTTTCACTGACCTGTTCCTCTCATGTTCCCGCTTTTATTTAAAAAAAATTAATATCAGGGTGTACTTTCCAATTTAAGGTATTTGTTGTTCATGTAGATGGAAGAGGACCAAATTGATAATCAGTTAATGTCAAATAGCCTTGAAACTTGAAAGCTTCTTTAAACTTCTTTCTCTTTCTTTAAAGCTACATTTATCTTATGCAATTTTCTCTCCCCGTCTCTCTTCTTTGTATCTCCTCCATCACTATCTTCCTGATGTCTTTCGCTATCTTGGCCTCTCAGTGGTCTCAGGCTTGTCTTCTCTTCTTCCTTCTCTCTCTTTCCTTTCCTCTACTTCTCTCATTTTGTATTTCCCTGTGTTTCTTTGCATCCTTCTCCCCTCTCCTGTCAATTTGTTCTTTTGCATATTTCTGTTTTCTCTTTGATACTCCTTATCTTATTTCCGCTCACTTTCTCTGTCTCTCCTTGTTCATTGATTTAAACATGAAGAGCTTAATTCCAAAAGGAGCTAAATCCACTTTCGATGAGAATTGAGTTATTGATCAGAACATTGTTCACTGAAGTAACCGTCTTTCAACACAATTATTTACCTTAATTTGGGGAGCAATTATGAAAAAATGCACCTTCTAATATCACTATTCCTTAGACCCCTGTACAAAATCTGGTAAACAATTTCTTTATTCTCTGAAGTTACAAAAAATGGATTTAGCTCCTTTTGGAATTTAACTCTCCACATGTATCTCTATCTCTTACCCGCAGCCATAGCATGGCATCCTATACATGAGGACATGTTTGTATCAGGAGGCTCCGATGGAGGCATTCTCTTCTGGCAAGTTGGGTAAGTGGCTTCAACAGCATTGTCAGTTATCCACTCTTCAGTCCACCCATAGTTTTTTTTGAAGCCCCACTGTACTGCTGATAGCTACTTGCGCCCTCTTTATAGCAAACAATGCCTAAACGGTGCCTGTTGGTCCCCCATGATCCCCTTTTTCTTATGTTAATTGAGAGCTGAATTGATGAGATAACCACCTGTCAGTGACCTTGCAGGAAGGTCTAATCCCTCCTGGCCAAACTAGTGCAGACTGGCTTTAAATGTTTGTTGTGTATATAATCCCATGAACATGTAGCATGTAGCATGAAGGTAGGGCTTTACACTGTAAAATATGTGCCTGGAACACATTATGGAGAACCTGTGTCTCAAGGTCCATTTCATTGTAGCCTCAACGGCCTCAGCTGTTGGACATAAATAAATATCATATCATGTGTCTAACATGTGCCTGGGGGTATCTGGCATGGCATCTCTTTGGTCATATGTATACGTTGAGGATCAGATACTTTCATGATACAGTCAAACCTGTCTATAGCGACTGCCCAAGAGAAACACAAAATGTGGTCTTTGTAGACAGGTGGTCACTAAAGCAGGTTTGACTGTATAACTAAAACTGTTCTCTGTTTTATTTCTCCTCAGGCATGACAAGGAGATTGGAGGTATCGAAGAGGCACATGAATCTATCATATGGAGTCTGGCATGGCATCCATTGGGCCATATGTTATGTTCAGGATCCAACGATCACTCAACGTAAGTAGCGATCCATTTCTGGAAGTGGAAAATGGTGCAAATGGCCACACCTCTTCTTCTAGATTATGAGGTGTGGAGGAGTTGAATCATTTGCTATGTGCTCTATTTTATCAAAGTTATAGGGTTGAGTTAAGGTTCTACTTAGGTTTTATATTAGGTTTAAAAGGATATGGTAACTTTGTCTCAGATTCTGAAACAAAATTCTGGATTTAACTGAATGATAATTATAAACCTTTATTAAAGTTAGTCAGGAACCCCATGACTTTTACAAGCCGATCGCCTGTCTGATTATCATATTTATTATTGGAAATCAAAGTTTCAAAAACTGTTTTCCTAAAGGTTGTTATTACACTACAGTCTATTGGGGAAAATGGGTATGCTCGAACTGGTCACTCAAAGATTTTTACTCTTTTGAGGCATTTCATGGTCATTTTGAAACACAATTTTTTTTTTTAGGGCTTCAATATTACACCATATCACAGCCACTGATAACACATAGGGCCATGCATCTCAGATTTAACATTGTTAAATGATGCCTTTAAGGTCAGGGTTGGGCTTTGGTATTCTGTTTGGTCCAAAGCTGAAATTTGAATTTCATTTATGTAGAATGTAGACCTCAATGTAATCTTTGCTGGTGGAGCAAGTTTGGTACAACTCCTCTTCGCCAGGGCAGACTACACGTTATTTACATGTCTTGTTCAATAATCGAGTTTGTATTTAGGATTTGCGCATGGGCAGATTAAAAGGTCATTCGTTCCAAAATTGTTAAACCATTGAGATGAATACTGGTATCGTACTCATGGAAGTTATGTAATCAGTATTCATTTATGCACCGACAATATGTTTATCTGCTACACAGGTGGAAGCATTCTTCTCAAGATGCAAACAAAAGGTTTTCATGAAGCACCTCCATCACTTCGACAGTGATTATTCTAAAATGCACAAGTGGGACGTATCCATCGTGTAAAAGATCTGTGGATATTTTGGGGTCGTGCATTCCGAAGCTATTTACGAACTGGCTTATTCAATGTTGTCTTCTTTCACTCACAGGAAATTCTGGACAAGAAACAGACCCGGGGATAAGATGAGGGACAGATACAATCTGAATACTCTGCCCATTGGAACCTCAGAGGACCTCCTGGAGTTTGGTAAGCATCAGGGGCCCATTTCACAAAGCCTTTTTTCAATGACAAATGACAAAAATCAGTGACAAATCTGCTAAAAACCAATCAGAAGCAAGGATTTCAGTAGCTTATAACAAAAACTGTCATTTGTCACTGATGACAAGTTTTGTGAAATGCCCCCCTGTTCTTTCCTCTGAGAACATATTACACATTCTTAATTTACAGTAGTATACCTTGGGGTCAGTTTGCTTCTTATATCTGTTGTAACTGATAGGCATCAGGCATTTTGAAGAAGAAAACATGTAGTGAAGAGTACTGTAGTTTTAAAACTAACATGCATAAAATACATAATTTATTAGAACGGCATTTCCCAAGATTTTAGAGGCCTCTTCTTTTGATCAAGATGATTGTTATAGCGCTCCTAAAAAGGTACGAACACTTTTTGAAATCTCCACATTTATTTTAAATTTAGAAATCTACAAATGACTTAAATGGTAAGAGAGGATATTTAAGAAATACTTAAAGAAAAGTGAGAAATTGCTACCTTGCAATGTCCAATACAGGCACGCTTTTGGTTGCAGTGTTATTGGCAAATCGTTTTAATATTTCTCTATTTGGTGATTTCAACAGCCCCTTGAATAGTTAAGAATTATTATTTACATTGTATTTGTAGTCGACTTAATGGATTGGTCCATAGGGTCGCTGTTGATATTGAATTGAATCTTAAGACATACATTCTAACATGGTAATCTCTTTTCTCTTTTTAGATGATGACACAACATCTCTTCCTGTCATCCCTGGTATGGGATTGGAGTATGGCGTCGCAGACCATCTCAAGAAAGACGAACCAGGTAAGAAAAGGGTACCAATCAATTTAAAAAAAAGTTTGTATAGCATGAAGGTCTAAGATCAGCCTTGCTATACTTATCCTGACATTACTGTAAAAGTAGAAATATTTGCAGTACATTAATTTTCGTGGATTTCACGCTAAGATTAACAAGCATTAAAGTAGATATTCATTGATTTTAAATCTAGCTTTATTTTCATTATTGCAAATTTGAAACTTTGATTCGACAAGGTTATCAAAATTCAATGCTTGGAAACATTCGAAGTAATGATTATTATAAATTACAAAACGCTTAAATACAGCCCCGGCATAGCACCTGAATAGCTCTCCGAACGCTGCTGAGATGTGTGAGATCACAGCAGGGACATGATTTGCACAAGCAGACGATGTCCCATGACATCTCACACATTTTCAGTGCCTGTGTTCTCATCTTCTCTTGAGTTCTTTCTCTTACTTCACTACCGTCAGGCTAAATGTATAATCTATTGCCTCACTCTAAACCCCGCGCATGGTTTTATTTTGATGACAAATGCAGCGATACAAAAATAAAGGAATCTGTAAACAAAATAAGACGCCATTGTATATTCAGCTGCAATCCTGGGGCTTTTCAATTTGAAAGTCTGGTTTCTTTGATTGTTAATTAACCCCTATCCTGTGTATTTACAAGCAAAAGATTTTAGTTATCAGAATCGGGTCATGTCCCCTTTTGATCGGTTTGACGTGCCAGTACATTTATATACACTAAACTCATTATAATTTGACAAATAATAACTTTGCAATTATGTTCATTCTTTATGGGATGTCGTCTGCTTGGGCAGTATTGGTCCCTGTTGTGACGTCATTAAAACATCGTTATTTTTCTGGCGAATCTCTCGTATATCCCAGCTGCTATGGAGGGGGTTGTATTTTTATTTTTATGAATCACCCGATATGTAGCTGACCTCAAACTTGTACGATGGCCATCTGTTAGCTTACCAGTTTCTAGTGATACATTAGTTGACATATTTGTGATTTTCTTTGAAGTTCACCATTAACATCAACAGTAATGAAAGATTCTATTACTAATTCTCTATTTCAAGAAATTGATACAGGTTTCATATTAGTCATCTTTCATGGGAGTAAATAAATGGTACTAAATGAATGGTATTAAATATCAAAACGACTTGATTAAATTGAAGTTCAACAAACCTGGCACTCCTGAACTGAAGATAACCAATTCAGACAGAATTATCTTGTTCAGCATTTTGGTAAAATAAATAGACATGTTGTTGCAAATGAGGTGGCCATTCAATGCCGAGATTGTTATTAAGTAAATGTGTGAAAGAGTACTTGCTAAGACAGGAATGACTCTCGCAGGGCACAACTACAAAATTAATTACATACAGATCTTCAATGAATGACTTTTGCTGTACTTTTTGCACCAACCTCATGGAATGGTTCATAAATATTTAAAGCCCATCTGCACTAGTTTGGCCAGGGGGGATTAGACCTCCCTGCAAGGTCACTGACATGTGGTTATCTTATCTAATCACCTCTCAATTAACATAAGAAAAAGGGGATCATTGGGGAGCAACAGGCACAGATTAGGCATTGTTTGCTATATATATATATATAGAGGGCGCAAGTAGCAATAATTAGTGCAGTGAGGCTTTAAATTCCCTTTTGGTGTGATTTATCAAAAATCCATGAATTCTCACTATCATGTTTTTGTCCAATCTCACAGTTGCAATGCCGGTGGCAGAGGAGAACCTCGACACCTCCATCCCCGGTCTCGACTCCTCCCTCGAAGAGCTGGAGAGACTGAAACCCAAACCCCAACGGAAGGTCCCCTACGCTAGACCGGTCCCCCAGAACTTCCTGGACGAATGGGAGGCCAACAAGGCCCCGGGCGTGGCACCTAACATCGAGGAGGAGAAGAGGAAGAAGAAAGAGGAAGAGGATAAGAAGAAGCAGGAGGAGGATGCTAAGAAGAGGGCCGAGGGGGAGAAGAAGAGAAAAGAGACGGAACTAAAGAGGAAGATGGACAAGCCAGAATCATTTGGCCTTGTCAATATTCCAGACTTTGGAGGTACATTGATTGATTAATTCGAATTTATTCCATTTTATATAAATTGTTTGCACAATAAAGAACATGGTAGACAAAGTAAGTTCAAAATAATGAAATGAAACAGGAACCTACTGGAAAGCATAGCTTGTTTTTGTAGGTTCCCAAGAATAAAAATAATATGAACATTGTTTTCATAAATCATTAAGCGTCTTAAAAATCACAGAGCCTGTCCCATGAAAGATCACACAACATTTGTGGGTGTTTGGAATGGATATTGAATGCAGAATCATCACATACATGTATATAGAATCATTTCCAAGTATAAGCTTTGAGTGTATCTGCTAGACGGTAATCTAGTTTTGTTAGAACTTGGTTAGGCGAGGCGTCAAAAATAAATATACCAGCCAGCGGCAGCTAACTGCACTTGTGCGTCCTGGCTGCATTTTTTAAAATTAGCTCAGCCGGCTACCGCTGGCGGTAGGAAATGGCATTCAAAAGCATGCGCCGGCTGCCGCCTTTCGAATGGAAACCGAGCCTCAGATCCCAGCCTGGGGCAAGCCGGCTGGGCTAATAAAAGAAAAATAATTGCCCCAGCCAGGCTTCGGCCGTAATTGCAGCCTCGATGCGCCAATACGTGAGGCGGCAGCCTGCTGGTATCGATATTTTTGACGCCTCGCCTTATAACAACCAAAAGGTATTTTATGCATACAGTGTTCATCCTCTTGTGTACGTACATATGTGTGCTTCTACCGCAAACAACCCCAATTGTTCACTAGGAAGATTGTGTGATTTCAGTGACCTCGAATTTCTTCGGGATAATATCTTCCCCAAATGAATGCCATCCCTCATGAATATTTCCCTTGAGAAGCAATTCATGAACTTTTTTTTGAAAGATTTTCTTCTCTCATCAGTCGTTTAAAGCCTGTCTGCACTAGTTTGGCCAGGGGGGAATAGATCACCCTGCAAGGTCACTGGACAGGTGGTTAAATCATCAAATCAGCTCAAGGGGATCATGGGGGACCAACAGGCACCAATTAGGCATTGTTTTCTATATAGAGGAAACAAGTAGCTACAAGTAGTGCAGTGGGACTTTAAAACAGTAGTTGCACTTTGCTTTCAGGTTTAGAAAAAAAAATCTTGTATTTTGCCTGCCTGGACAGGATACTAACACAAGTTCTTGTACCATCTTTGTTTTTCCTAGGTAATCCTATTGAGGTCATCAAGTTCATTGCCAAGTCACAGGGACCTAAAGCTGCTCAACAAGCTTTGGTGAACGTCATCCAGACGAACCTTCCTTCAGGTACATTCCGAGTGAAAGGGATTTATAGAAGAAAAACAGTGATCAGCTTTTCTGTATTAAATTGGCAACACCACTATTTATCTTTCTTTGCTTCACTATTCTACAAATGCATCTCCTAAGTAAATGAAACTACATGTAGGGAAATATTTACCATTTGTTAAAAGACCATGTCTTTAAGAAAAGGCATTTTCAAATAGGCCATTCCATTGCCAGTTTAATAATTTTTTGTTTCTTTTCCATACTTTTTATTCCTTTTTTGTTGTATTTTTTGTTGTATTTTTTTTTTTTTTTTTTTGGGGGGGGGGGGGGGGGGGTGGGGTCTGTTTATAGATTGGTTTAGGGTTAGAGGTATGCTTGGGTACAGTGTTGGTTCAAGGGTTAATGTTAGAGATTCATTTAGTGTAGGAAACTGAGTACATAACAGTTACTGCTGGAGCATGGGTGGTACAACTATGGAGCTATTTTCTTTCAATATACGCTCACAAATGTGCCACAAATTAAAACTATTGGCATGAAGGACTTTTTTTTTTCTAAACAAATACAGGGGCCCTTTTCATAAAACCTTTTACCTATAACAAATGCTAAATTTCTATGACAAATTTGCTCTCAGCTGATCACATGCCATGATTTCAGTAGCTTATAACAGTAGCTTGTAACTTGTTATTGATATCAAGTTTTATGTTTGTTTAACAGGTACCGTGCTACCCATCATCAAGCCTCATGTCAATCCGATCATGGTCCTCCTCACAGAAGGCCACATCCCTCCACACTTTGCCAAGAGACTGCGGGCAGGGGGACTCCTGCCACTCGAAGCAGTAAGATGGATGGACAAGAAGGAGGGTAACGGAGAGAGACCACTACCCCCACACCTCGCCAAGCTACCCATCGCTGTCCCGCCAACCAAAAAGGAGAAGGGGGACGCCATTCCGGACAAACCAGGCGAAGCGGACAAGGAAAACGAGGCGTCCAAGGAGCAGATTGTAGATGGTGATTCCGCACCCAACAACGGGACGGATAGTAAGGGTCTGCTGGGAGATAAGCCTCCGAGTGGAGGACCAAACGCGCCAGGTGCCGGTTTGTTGCCTGATCCCGGTCAAGGTGGAGGGTTGTTGCCAGAACCAAAGACTCCAGGAGCTGCAAAGTCACAACCTCCTCCACTTATGCAGACACTACCAAAGGAAGCATTGCTGCCTGAACCTGATGCAAATGAAGGAACAGGAGATGTTGATATGAGGCAAGGACCCCTGTTTGGGGATGTTGATATGAGACAAGGACCAGTAGTTGGGTTGTCAGGCCCACTCTTAGAGCCAAGGAGTGGTCCCATGAGTGGACCACCAATAAGACCAGGGCCACCCACACAGGAACTACAGCGGAGAAATGGGCCTGTTGTGAGACAATCTGATGGCTTTGGACAGGATCGTGACGAGCGTGTCTCAGGTGCGGGACGTGGAGATGTCGATTTGCGTCAGGAGCCACAGCACTTGGAGAATATGGGGGACAGGGAACTCCGGCAAGGTCCCCCTCAACGCTTTAATGGCCCAAGCAATCATTCCTTTGAGCGACAAATGCCCATGCAGGATGTGGACAATCGCAGGTTTCCCCTAATGGGAGCCGATGATGAAGGCATCCCCGGGCTTGGTTCAGAAGACCAAGACCTACGTGGTGGCCCACCTGTTCCTTTGATGTCCATTGAGAGCCCCATAGCAAGAACTCGAGAACCTCTAGATAGAGATTTCCGACAAGGGAACCATGGGGAGTTCCCGAATCCCGGCAGAGATTTCGACGAGAGACCACTCCCGATTATGGATCACGAAGAGTTCCCACCATTGCCTCACCGGAAGCGACCGTGGGAGGAAGAACAAGGACCAGGACCAGGGCATGAGGATCCAGAACGTTGGGAAGAAGGTCCCGGGATGATGGATGAAGGTCCTGGATTTGGAGGGCATGACATGGGTGGTGGAATGGGTAGGGGCATGAGAGGTCGTGGTGGGTTTAGACCAGACATGGGAAGGGGAGGGTTTAGGGGCAGAGGTAGAGGTTGGGGTAGAGGAAGGGGAAGGGGGAGGGGAATGTGGTAGGATGGTACTCTACTGTGGAATTCCAAACCCTCCTACTATTTTTTTTCTCCATGGTGCGAGTTTCCCAATTGGACTTTGCAACTGGTTTACCTTATTTTCTATTATCTTAGTTCCCTTTTGTAAGAAGTATGATGTAATTTGAAAAATACCTCAGTATTTTACCTAAAATCTCTTTCCCTTTTCCTTGTCAAATACACCAAATTTCAAGTTTCATCCTCTGAAAAGAAAATAATGACAATCTGTTATATTAATCACATCGGGTTACTGGCTGAGAACTGTAGTAACAGACTATATTAACCAAGAAATACACTGAGATCTCATTCATAGTGTGGATATTAAACCCCTCAAAAAAGTTTGGTACTCAATTTTGATCCATTATATCTCTCCTGTCATGTGATGGCCATTTCTTTGTTTAGTATCATTTAAGAATGTTTATTCCGCTTGAAAATTGTAAGATATTTGTTATGATTTTGTAGCCATTGAATGAGCAGTACATCAGAATAAAGAGCAGGGCCAAAAGCAAAAATGTGAATAATGCACTTGTGAGCACTGGTATTGCGATGCATGCACTACTACACAGCAGCCCTTTACTTTCCAAAGAAAGAAGAATGCACAACCGGACAAGATCGTTTTATTTTGCAACTTATTGCTTTTGACCTTGCCTCCTATTTTAATATAATTTCATGGCTAAAAGAATCACAACAATAAACTCTCTCATGCTTGAAAATGGCAATGTAACCCCCTTCCCCCCCCCCCCCCTCCAAAAAAAAAAAAAAAAAAAATTAAATAAATAAATAAATTTGGATAATGTAAAAAATACATCTTAGTGACCCCTTGGGTTTGGGTCATAGTTGGAAAAAAAGTGACAAAATTAATGACAGCTCACATATCTTCGGTTCAGTGATAAACAATGTAAGTTCTAATAATTACCAAAAAAATGAGCGACTGGCATTGTCAATTGCTGCCAGTAAGGTAAAATCTACCTGATCGCTTGTTTTTTTTTTTGTGGAATGGTCTTGGCAAAGGGAAGTGTATAGCTATTATCTAGCCCATCTTGCAGATATCTACACTCAAATTTGCTGGAAATCATTGATAAAATACCAAACGTTCTCGTACATATGTCTCTTGACACGGGGAAACTCAACTTCATTAAAATGAACTTTCTTCTGCTACAAAACTGCACCAAAACTGGAAACCCCTTTTATCTAGTTGAAAAAAATGCCTTATGTAATACATGTGTGCACATGTATTTCCTTCAGTATTCAAGGTTTCATCAATTTTAGCGTGTAGAATAAGTCTCCTTACATTTGTAGGAGGAATGATCAAAATGAAATATTTCCAGGTCATGTTTTTTTTTGTTAATGAGAGAAAAATTAGATTTAAAAGAGGTATAGAAAGGAAGGGAAAAAAGTTGAGTGAGAGAAATTTTTGATTTGTTTGACAATGGAATATTGATGTAAATACTGTAAAAATCTGTTCATGTACAGGTACCTTTGTTGTAATCATGTTCAATATTTTCAGATGAATTTGTACAGAGCCTTTTACATCATTTATGTTTATTCTGCGACTAGCTATTACTTCTCTGCTACTCATTTCGGCGACTATGACATGAAATTTGACATGAAATGTGATCACAGAATAAAGAAAAACATTAGATATGTAAACGTGTGGTGCTATTTTGAATTGTTTTGTGTACATGTTGCACTGTTGCATTCTTCACTGGTATTGAAAAGGATTGGTGATATGTGGGGCAAGGTTATGCTTATTTTTGATCAATGGAATCGGAGGAATCATAAATGGACCAAGTGAATTCCCCACATTGATTAAAGTGTATCAATTGCCAAAACATGTTTTGATCCTGATGCTAGGGGTTTTGTGTGGCTATGCCCTGTTTAAAATATGTGCTTCAAATGTTACTTCGAAGAGATATTTCAATTTAAATACATTTTCAGTGACCAGTAAAACATCTTGTCAAGTTGACTAAGTGGACTAAGAACCTTTTTATCCAAGGTTTAAATCAGGCTTGAATCACTGATTGATTGAAATGTCTGAAAATTCAAATTTGCAACCGTAGGGCTTCATCAGGAAATTGTTTTTATTAGAAATTCATCATTGAACATGGCAAACACGATGCAGTGCGCCAAGCACAAAGGGACACTTATCCCTAAACCTTGGAGAGTGTAGTAAAGAGGAAAGAAAGAGACGGAAGTGGAAAGAGATATGTGCAGGACAAAGAGAAGAAAGAAAGATTATGCAAAATAGAAAACAAGAGAAGGGAGAAAGTGAAAAATAAGAACCAAAGAAGCTAGGGAATTGGCAAAGGAGAGAGAGGGGCTTAGATTTAGTGTGATTTTAGAGTACTGGCTAGAAATTTTATAACAACTGCTGATTCTGTGAAGTTGATAGGCCTTGCTGTCGCTTTGAACTTTCCAAGTAATTATTATCAGTAAATTAATTTTTTACCAATGTCGAGTCCTTTTATCCATTCAACATGCATGTACTACGTAGTAACATTACACATTACTAATAACTTGTCAAAAACTGAATTCTCTCTCATTCCTTATAGGGTGTACATGTACCGGTATGTAGGTGTAAGCAAAGTGTTGAATGTGCCTTACAGAACAGTTTTTTAAACAGAAGTTTTAAGGTTTTGACCTAGCATACTCTTTATTGCACAGTGCCATCTCGTGGTCAACTTGCCAACAGTTCGTAACCCAAAATCTATTTCCCCCTTGGCACAGAGAGAGAGGACTCAATGTGAGAACCAAAAGCGCAGCTAGGGAAGCAGCGGGTTACGGGGCCATAGTGTTATAGCTGACCTGAGATGGTGCTAAAGGGGATTTTGTGTTAGTGCTTCAAGTACAGTATGGCTTTAGACCTAGTCATGCAGTATCAAGCAAATAAGATTCCTGAAAAATACTGCATCCCTTTCAAAAGAAAAAGAAACTTGTGACAAATGAAATAATCAACAAACAGGTTTTAATATAGCTAGATATTTAATTTTGAAAACACTAAAAGGTGATATTTAAATACATATATTTACAAATGTAATGTACATATTTACAACACATTACAAATGTATGATAATAAAATTTCATGCATATATGCACAGATATACATTTTCACAAGATCTCATATTTCAAAAATTCATAATTCTCTTATTATTAGTCCGATTCATTTAAAACTGTCACCATTCAGTTAATCTGTTTTTTCTGCTTTCATACAAATGAACTTACTACAAGGGTTGGATTGCCCTTTAATGAGAATGCTTATTATGTTTCTTTTCTATTGACCACTTTCATAAATACCGGTATATACATATCATCCCCACCTCCTCTCTCTCTATCTTTCCAATTTTTACGAGGATAGCAAAGAGCTTGATAGTTTTGCTTTGAATTAAATCAAGAAGCGGCTTAATGCCTACAGTCGTTTAGACTTCTGGTCTAAACACATTGTTATATAGGTCTTGGTAATCCTGTCAACAGAAGGAAGTTTAAGAAAGATATTCTAAGTGAAATTACATATTGATCATCAAAATCGGGCCTGTTTATAAATGTTGGGCATGCATCCATAAATTTGCTCCTTAAATTGACGCTTGATGAAAAATACAGCTTTATGAAATTGAGTTCATGTTTTAATTAACACTACTCTTGTGCCTTGCATGGAAAAGGGCACTCTTGCTCGACAAGCGACGGTGGGATCGACATCAGGCTTCCGTCAGGTCGTCATTGAAGTAGAGGTGGATAGCGCGAAGGTACTCATCATCGTTCATGCTCAGCTTGTAGAACTCCTCATCCTCGTCGGAGATACCGTTCTCCTCCAGCGTCTGGTTCATGTCGAGGTTCGCGCCCTCGTATTTCCAGGTGTAGCTGGCCGCGTGCTCGTTCCACTTTAGGTACCGCTGGAGAATTTCATCCATGGTCTCCTCCGAGCAAACCTGCGATGGTTGGATGACAATAATAATGATTATTAACGAAGGTTCAGTGACACAAAGACGTAACTCCATATTTTGCCAAAATGAGTATTTGATATCAAAATGTTCAGAAAAATGTGGGCTTTCCAAGAAACACAAAGCTAGTGAAACATAGACTTAACTCAATTCAATTCAATTGGGGGCGGACGCCCCGGGATTTTTTCTTCCCACAATAGAAAAATTCTCGTTAAGATCTTTTATCAATCTCTTCTTCATTTTTCTATAAAGCACCATAAATACTTAGTGTATCGAAGTACCTTTAATAATACAAGGCTTCTATGACGTACTTGTACTTTTTTATTCCAAGGATTTTTTATAGACCCTAACAATTTTCCAATTCATTAAAAAAAAATAGGAATGGTTATATTGGAAAAATTGCCAGTGAGCAGGGATTGTACTGTATACACTTGATCTATTGATGCTCGCTCTACTTAAAGTGACTCTGTAACATTGCCTCAGATTCTGAAACAAATACCTGGATTTAGCTCATGCTGCAATCATAATTATAAACCTTTAGGTCAGTCAGAAATCCCATGACTTTTATAAGCCGATGGCCTATCTAATTATCAAGATAGTTATGATTGGAAATCAAAATTTCATTTTTCGTTTTCCTAACAATTTTTATAACACTACAGTCCATCGGTCACTCAAAGATTTTTACTTTTTTGAGGCACTTCATGATCATTTTGAAGTGCAATTCTTTTAGGGCTTAAATATAACACCCAATCACAGACACTGATAACACGTAGGGACATGCATATCTCAGATTTAACATTGTTAATAAATGTTAAATATGAGCTAAATCCAGGATTTCGTTTCAGAATCCGAGGTAATACAGAGTCACTTTAAAGATGAAGTTGGGTTCTGGTCATGCGATTGCATTGTGAAAGAAACGGTGTGGAACCGACCAGAAATGGTTGATCATCTAGCATATAAGAATTTGTGTGTATTGTAAGGTTCTGGAATCATCAAAATGATAAGAAATTTGGCCAAGTCTTGGTAAAGTTACAAACACTTGCACAGAAAGATGTATATGGGACTACACGAACACGTGGCGTAAAAAGCCGGCCCTCGATTTTTACGATGTTACATGCATATTTAAAATATGAAGGCATTTGAAGAGCCATGCTTTTCAGGGAACATGTCTTAACCGATGTTCTTCCACACTTGCATAATAAGAATAAGTAATGTACACAAATTATTTTTCACCTCTTCCCAGAACTCAACCTTCTCTTTAAAAGAACAAAAGTACTGTTTTAATCGAATATAAAAGGAAACTCAATGTTGTTACCTCTATAATCTGTTCTTGTGATGTGAGAGTGTTGATGACCTTGACCATTCTTGTCTTCTTGGATAAGATCCCGATGCAGTACCCCTCGTCTTTCCACCACGGTCTGCCAAAGTCATTGGCCCAGTCGGTACGTGGACTAGGGGGCGGGATGTGGACAAAGCGGCCATGAGGCGAGTAGGGAAAGACGCACTTCGTGGCAGGGTCCACGTGCGTTCGAATCTGCGAAATGAGGGCAACAAAGTTGCATTTACATGTGGTACTGATAACAACTGCTGTACAGTGTACATGTGTGATTCTTTTTTGTTCCACAAAAAGTATGATGGGGGTTTGTGTGAGCGGAGGCTTTACAAAAATAGACCGGTCACTTTTGCCTAATTAGTATTCAACGACAACTATGCATCAAATATCACCAACAAGCGGAAATATTTGTCTTTTATAATGTGTTGTAACATCAATCTTACAATATTGATCAAAAATATTGCATGTAAACTTCTTCAAATCACCTATTTAAATAAATTGTCTGGATACACAAACTGAAGGACACCCAACATTTGAATGTACAATATTTTCAAATGGATAATAAACAGTGTATGATACTTTCAAATAAAATATATTGTAAGACTATGCCTATAAGCATACAAGTCATTGGTCATTGCTTCATGTTCCCAAATAAATAATGACAACAGAATATTATGTTTATTTTTTTTAATGCTGGTATTTACTTCACAATACCATTTACTTCAAATGCTATTATTTACTTCACCATGGTACCTTACATTGACACACAGCATATCATCATGATAAGGGATAGCTGCTGAATGAGATTATCATTTCAAGCTTCAACGAACTGATTTTTAAAAGCTTTCATGTAATTAAAAAAAAAATGTTATGTGCATTTAAACAGTGTTCAGAAATTAATTTGTGTAGAGAGATCTGGACTCATTTGAGGTGTACACTCACATCATTTGTCTTCTTGTCAAACCAATGAGAGATGTCTTTTCCAGCGCTGGCGACGACAGGCTTTAACAAAATGCTCCCTGTGAAATAGAGAAATGACAATTGGATCAAATAATAATAGGCCTACGCTACAAAGGTCTTCGATCGACCTAACAAGGTTTAAAATCTGTCAAGGCAGACTCACAAAGCTGTCACAGGTTACAATTTAATCAGGTGTTAACCCTTTCACTATAATTTTACACGGACGATCTTGCACAGGTCAACTTCCAATTTAAATTCTGTTTCGAACAGCATTTATCTAGAACTTGGAATATGATTCTGCTATCTCTTGTTAAAAAGCCAAGAATTATCGAGCTGAAACGCATCATTCATAGTCTTAATCTACGATTAATTTTACAACTTGATCTAAATGGAAGAAGAAGGAGGAGAAGAAGGAGAAGGAGAAGGAGAAGGATCGAGAAGGAGAAGAAGGAGAAGAAGGAGAAGAAAATGAAGAAGAACATGAAGAACATGAAGAACAAGAAGAACAAGAACAAGAACAAGAACAAGAATAAGGAGGAAAAGAAGAAGAATAAGAAGAAGAATAAGAAGAAGAGCCCTGAGCCAGGCCGATTCGTCGGTACTCCCAGGCCCAGGGCCAGGCTAGTCTCGGGCTCCGATCAATCATCAATGGCAATGCACCACACCCGATAGCACGCATGAAATTCAGCATGTGGGACCGACATTAAAATGTTGCACTCACCTTCGTACTTCTCACATAGTGGCGTTAAATCGTAAACTTTACCCAAGAAGGACACCCAAATATCTTTAAGCGTGTTGTGCACTGCTACCTCGTTGGGAGTGTAATATTTAGGACGCATCTTTCCCGTTTTCAGCTTCAAATAAGAACGATTCTTACATAAAAATTCTTTATTTCAGCGTTGTTGCCAAGTTACCGAATACTATGGTAGCTTGCAAGGTGAATTTTTTATTTTATTGTAGTAATGTAATAAGAATAACATAATGTAATAAGAAAATAAAATAAGAATAGTAAAACATTATACAATATTATAATATGCTAAATTACACTCAGTACATTAAAAATATAATAACAATCATAATGTAATAAGAAAATAAAATAAGAACAGTAAAACATAATACGATATTATAAATATGTTAAATTACACTCAGTACATTAAAAATATAATAACATAATGTATTAAGAAAATAAAATAAGAAAAAGTAACAACAATGATAAAAGGTATGATAAGATTACTGAATATAGAAGCTTGTGTAGGTGCTATCTTATATACATATTTATGTATGGTGTGTATGTGATATAACAAATAATCTGCACGTACTGTTAAGAAACACTAACAAAGCCCATGAATGTTTTGCTTACGATATTATTTTACGATACTATCTTAAAAGATAGATAAATATAAAACGAAATAAATGTATTTTTTAAAAAATCCAAAATTGAGAGATATAACACGTGCCGTAAAGTAATTTGGCGACAATAGTCAAATCACTGACTAATCGCCAATAACTCAAAACACAACAACAACAACAACAGTAAACTTCGCTGATAATATGTGTGTATGTCGTGCGTTATCTTCTATTCAATTCAATTAAATTAAATTCATTTCTTTTTCCTCTTTCAATTTGTTATATTTACAACGATGGTACATTTTTACATATTCGCATATCATTATACATATAGATCAATTTGCACAATACAATATATTACCCCAAAAATATGAAATTGAAAATTAAGGGAAGGAGGGCCGACTAAAAGCAGAGCTTGTAGAAGTGTAGGACCCCCGGTAAAAGTATTATCATTATGAATCATTTTTTTATGAGGAAAAAATACTACAATAACAACTACTGATTCATTAACACAAAGATTCCTTTTTAAACGCAAAACAATGATAAAAAAATACATACATAAAAAGACTGAACATTGTTCAGTCTTTTTATGTATTTTGATTGTCAATCAAAATTGCACAAACATCAAAATTCCATAAAGTCACACTAAACTTATATTTGATTGGGGAATGCAATAGCCTAGTCACTGTTCAGAAGAAAATTGTCAAGTCTCCATTTGAAAATGTGTATCGAACTACACTGTATAATATCATTTGCAAGATAATTGGACCTCGGTAAAAACCAGGCGCGGATCTACGGGGGGGGGGGGGGTTTAGGGGGTTTAAACCCCCCCCCCCCTTGGGCGGCCCCCCCCCCCCAAAAAAAAAAAAAACAAACAAACAAAAACAAAAAAAGGAAAAAAAAGAAGAAAAAAAAGAAAAAAAGAAAGAAAAAAGAACGCACGCTGGAGAGAAACCCTTTCAAGTGCAAATATTGTGAGAATATATTCAACTCATCTGGTAACTTAAGCAAACACATGATAACTCTGGATATAACTGTGTATTTAACTGTTACTTGATTTAAAAAGACGTTATCACGCACTGCTTTTTATGGTCTCCCTTGTGTTAATAGATGCCAGGAAAACATCACTTACGGGGTTCAAATAAACACCCAAAAAAAAAATCGGCTCGCCGCTTCGCGGCTCGTGGACGATGCTCCGCATCGTCATTATTTTGGTCAACCCCCCCCCTTAGCAAAAAGCTAGATCCGCCCCTGAAAACAAATGTCTCAAGTTTGTGCAAACCAAATTTGCTGAAAAGAGTGAGAAAATCTGTTTTAATATTAAGAGGAAGATGGCGATTGGTCTAGTCCCTTGAAATAAATGTTCACCCCAGTCTCGCACAAAATCAAAATTGTGTTTTGGGTTTGTTTTTTTTTTCTTCTTTGGTTTCTTTACCGTGATATTTTTATTATTTTAAACTACAAAAAAAGTAAAGTATATGCCTAATTCGTTTACTCTTATCCGGGGAAGGTAGGCCTATGATGGATATCAGGAATTAAATAATAATATTGAGGCATAGCGAATCTTTGTTAAAAATTCATTTCACCTCCCACTATTGAATAAATGACCTCCATGAAATCTCATACCGATTTCTTGTATCTAGATATTAAATCGAACGTTTCCCACTTTCTTAATTAACCAGCCCAAACACCCTCTTAAAATTATTTCTTCGTCTAATCAGCGAGGAACAAAGCCTACTTTTTGTCGATTTCCCCCCTTTTTTAAACATCAATTAATTACTAAAACTGGCTGTTTTCCATTTTATCACTTCAACTCCCTACGTTCCTAATTAGAAGATGAGATCTAATTTGGGTACTGTACGTGTATGAAGATGAATAATGAGTAAGTTAATCACTGAATATGCTACTAATGAAATTAATGTGTTCGCGAAAGGATTTACGCTTTGTCGGCATACCGCTTGCAGTATGCCAAAGTCTGCATAATTAATTTTGTGTGCCTTGTAGCAATGAAAGTATGCCGACACGTGTGTGCTTAAAGGTAGGCCTACTATGTCCCATTTGCAGGACAAAAAAAATGAAAAGGTTAAATTCCAATGGCATTTGAAAGATAATACTAATTTAGAACTCCCATTAAAAAAGGGGGGCTTGAAAATGTCTTAAAAGTGGTAAAATAACGACTATTAGTTGTCAAATCGACTTAGGAGCTATAGAGCTAATAAGTAATAGTCTTGATTTTTAGACCATTGTACTTGCATGGTCGTACGTTTTATGCAGCGCAAAGACGATCAGTGGGTTATTGATGTAGACAAATCATTACAGCTCATTTTATGTATGTTATTACCAAAGAAGAAAAAAAGCCAGTCAGTCACTCAATACTGACAATAGTGTCTGACAGTGAAGTCTAGCAAGTAAACAGGTTTCCTTGCATAATTTGAATATTAGGACACTGCTAACGTTTACATTTCACAGATAAGACATACATGACATATTCATAATTCCTGAAAAGTTCTACACAATTTGAGGTTGGCTGCAAAAGGGACATAGTATCTTTAAAGTGCCTTGGTATCATTGTTAAAGGTTGATAACAAAAGTGCTTAATTTGTGTAAGAAATGTTACTTATTATATTCCTTTTACTGTATTCACCCACCAACATTAAAGAAAAGGTTCATTGATTTAAAAAACTAACTTTAATGTCATCATTGCAAAGGTGACACTTTGATTGGCCAAGGTTATCAAAAGCCAGTGCTTGGAAACATTCGAAGTAATGATTATTAACAATTACAAAATGCTTAGATACAACCCCGACATAGCACCTGAAAAGCTCCCCGGTCGCTGCTGAGATATGACGTCACATGTTGAACATGATGTGCACAAGCAGACGATGTCCCATGACATCTCACACAATTTCAGTGCCTGTTTTGTTATCTTTTCTTCAGTTATTCTCTTACTTCAATACCTTCAGGCAAAATGTTTAATCTATTGCCTCACTCTTAACCCCGTGCATGGTATTATTTTGATGAAAAAATGCAAGGATTAAAAAAAAGAAGGAATCCGTCGCTTGTAAACAAAATAAGACGCCATTGTATTTTCAGCTGCATACACCACGGCAGGTTCGGCGTTTCAAGAGGGAACAATAATGACGTCCAGCTATCATTCCGAAGGTTTTTTAATTTGAAAGTGTGGTTTCTTTGATCGTTCATTAACCCATATCCTGTGTATTTACAAACAAAAGAATTTAGTTATCAGAATGGGGGTCATATCCCTTTTTGAATGGTGTAAAATTCCATCACATTTATATACACTAAACTCATTATAATTTGAGAAATATAAGCATTGCAATTATGTTCATTCTTTATGGGATGTCGTCTGCTTGGGCAGGGTTGGTTCATATTGTGACGGCATGAAAACTTTTTTTTTCCGGCGAATCTCTCGCATATCCCAGATGCTATGGAGGTTGTTTTATTTGTATTTTGCATAATAGTCATCTAATAGCTTACCAGTTTCTAGTAATACGCTATTTGCCGTATTTCTGATTTTCTATGAACCCGCACTTTAAACAAATCCTGAACAAAATATCAAACCACAAAGATATTAATGTTTTTCTTTGAAGGCGTCACTGCGCAACACCCTCTAACAGTAAATCCTCCCAACCATTTTTGAATTTTCCCAACCGATTTCACGAAAGCCTTTGACACTGTTGGTAGGACAGGTCTTTGGGAACTACTACGAAAGTACGGATGTCCCGAGAAGTTCACCGGAATGGTAGAGTCCTTACATACGGGTATGATGGCTAAAGTCAAGGAAGCAGGCGAAACATCCCATAGCTTCCCTGTAAGTAACGGTGTAAAACAAGGATGTGTGTTGGCCCCTACGCTGTTCTCCATCTTTCTCTCGGCGATGCTGGAGGAGGCCTTTGCGGACTTTGAGGAAGGCGTTTACATACAATCACGTCAAGACGCCGACCTATTCAATGTCGCACACTTCAAAGCTAAGACGAAGTCTACACAGATTCTCGTGAGGGAACTCCTCTTTGCAGATGACAGTGCTCTTGTTTCTCATACACCAGAGCAGATGCAACATGTTATAGATGTATTTTCATCAGCATCAAAGAAGTTCGGTCTACAAATAAACATCAAAAAGACTGAAGTACTATTCCAACCAGGTACAGACCACCGAGAGGAGGAGGAGATCCTAGTGGATGGGACAGCCCTAAACCAGGTAGATGACTTCACTTATCTCGGCAGCACTATATCCAAAGACGGACGCATCGACTCTGAGCTGGTGAAAAGAATGTCAAAGGCCAGCAGTGCCTTTGGAAGACTGCGAACCAGGCTATGGAACAACCATCATGTCTCAACAAGAGTGAAGTGCAAAATCTACAGGGCTATCGTCCTATCCACTCTCTTATACGGTGCGGAAAGCTGGACTCTCTACAAAAGTCAAGTAAAGAAACTTCACGCGTTCATGATGAGACACCTTCGAGCAATCATGAGAATCAGTTGGAAGGACAAGGTGACCAACAAAGAGGTACTAGAGCGAGCAAACCTTCCTTCTATGGAGGACCTGCTCATCAGGAAGAACCT